TATTATTATTATTATTATTATTATTATTATTATTATTATTATTATTATTATTATTATATTGGAAAATAAGTAGCAAAAATATTAATACTTGAAACAAAATCACCAGAATACAAGCGAATGGTCAACAGTAATAAGAAAGCTGTTCAAAGAACAAATTAAGTACTAGAAATAGCACCACTAGAATGAAAAAATGAATTACAACAAATTAAACCAAAAACTAAAAAAAAAAAATAATTATCTCACATCTAAATGGAAATAACATTCATTGAGAAATTCACTTCAAACTTAAATATCAGCCCTTAAATAACTAGCAGCTCTTCTATATTTCATGCTTTGTTCTACACTATTTTTTCATTACATGAAATTTTCTTTCTGATATGATTTTTAACCATAACATAACCATTAAAAAAGTTTATTCTCGTACTTCATGATTTGTGTAAGTTTTTAATTCAAAAAACTGTGGAGCTGCTATTTGAAATAAATTATTCTGCCCCTTTTATGAAATTAAATTTGGAAATAAATATAATTACACTTTTCCAATTATCAACATTATCACACAAAACAGTTCAATAATTACTGACATGGTAATTTCAAATGCTGATTATAAATACTGACAATTTTGTACATTTGCTGAACATCAATAATATCAATGGATAATAAGTAATGAAAATATGAATACTTCAAAAGAATTTATCAGTATATAAAATATGTTTACAAAATCCCCTCATAATGGCTTAAATACATAATTATTATTATAAAAATAATAATATAATATATTGAATAATAACTATTGAATAAACAATTGCTTCAATAAGTGTATTGTAATCCATACATTACATTCAACACATAAATAAAATTTAAAAGGTATGCAACTCTCAGAACCACGTGAATAAAAAGATAACAACAATATTGCAGCAATAGTTTATGAAGCATTTTAAATGTTATTTCCATAAAATAAATTATGCATTCAAACAATAAATGGAAAATAATAAAACCTTTACTATTCAGCAATTTGTCTAACTGAATGTAAGCATAATTGTGTTTGGGCAATTTTTTCTTTCCCCTTTTATTAATGTATTATTTATAGTTTTTATGTCATTGCTCACTTAAGAGGCCAAGTTTATGGTCTTTACCTTGCCAAACAACACAGCAAGACTGTATAGGAGGTCTCTGCAGTTTCATTAGAAAATACATTAATAGATTAATGAAAACAAGTATACAGACTAATTAAAATACAGAAACACAACTATCCGGTACAGCGTGTTCGGCAACAATTGGTACTCCTAATACCAAATTCATGAATTTTGTAAAATAAATGTTTAAAACAAGTTCAGGGCTGTATAATCAATTCATAATCAAAAATAGTTATCAAGATGAAGCAATGTTTTTATCAGCCCCTCATTACCTTATTTCTAAAGCCAAGGCACATTTGGGACAGATTAGATATTTGAAAAGGCCTATGGATATTAATGATGATGATCTATGAATAATATGAAATTCAAATAAATGACAAACATGACCCCAAATTGATCGCACACCCATTGGTGGCTTGAGAAGTTTTCCATTTTCAGAGGTGGTATGCATCAACTGAAAACCAATGTATTACAGAACAATAAAATGGTCATTTAAAAGTGATATGTTGATGACATCTTGATCACTGTCCAGAAAAATTATGTTGATGACATGCTAAGATTAATTTTCATCATTCTCGTCTCCAATGTACTCATGAAGCAGAGAAAGGCAAGAGTCTAATTATCTTCATCATACTGTAATGCAAAATAACAGTAAAATTTCTTCCAATTGGTATATTAAAGACTTGGCAAAGAGCCAAACTTTAAACTTCCTTCCAGAACACCCAGTTCAACAAGAGATAATTGAAAATTGAAAAGGTAAGGAGATTATCTGATAAGTGTTTTCATGAGGTACATGTTGTAAAAGTTGAAATTATGCAATATAAAAGGATTTCCTGAAACATTTATTACAAATATATCAAATGTTGTATTCACTAATTTTGTGGAGGTTCAAAACATAAATGCCTACCGTAGCAATGTCAGAATGCGGTATATTACAATTCCTTATATTTCAACAATTGTGAACAATACAGAAAACTCTTTATCCGTAAATGGTATTACCAACACTGCTAGAAACACATTAACACTGAAAATATAAAAATACAAAAGACAAACTCTAGGCACACAATATTGAAAATGTTGTCCATAAAATTGCATTTTTATATTGTGACAGTTGTATTCGACAGACTTTCCAAAAAGTGATTGGTAGAACCAGGGAACAGAAAAATGTTAGAGATCTATCTCAAACGTTACCTTAAATACGTCATGAAATTAATTTTAATAGGAGATGTCTATGGACATTTCCAATGTAGAAATTCATGGATTTTGAAATGTCACCTTCACAAAATAGAATTTGGTATAAGCCAAAAAATGACATTAACTTTTATAATCAGACTACCCTTAATGAAAGTAAATATCTTCAGGAGTGTATTAATTATATTCTCCACTTATCACCCCCTAACATTTACTTTCCATATAAACATGGCTGAGTAAATTACAACTAAGTAAATCCGAATACACAAAAAAATTGGATTTTGTACATTAAAAAAACTATTTGGTACTATAGAGAGCATTATTCATTCCTCAGTTCATTACTTTTAACTAATACTGGATATGCATCAAATAATATAAAGCAATATAGGTATGGATCGATCACAACCTTAAATATAAAAAGTAGATTCTTAGGCTTGCTGATGAGTAGTTCTAAAACGTTTATACATTCAGACTTGCATAATAAGTCACAAACTAGTAAGTATCATTAATACACACTGTTACTTCAAAATACACGTTTTGGAATTATTAAGAAAAACAAATATGAATACTGAAAAATCTTTCCAATATCTTTAGAAAGAACTACAATAATTATCCCTGAGATAAAGAGACACAGCAGTATCAAAAAGTGATTTAATATAATATACATCAGGCACATGTGTGGAACATACCAAACAAATCCCTGTTACAGTTTAACATATTTAAACTTCATCCTTTTCATGAATACATCATCATAAGAAAGCAAAAGTTATTCCCAACCTTTTTTAACATTACACAATAGTTCCATTTCCATTAAACAAAAAATACGTTTTGAGATTCTGATAAACACAATTTTTCTATCCATTGTTTCCTAAGGACATACATAATTGTGCAACAACTATTTGATTGAGATAGAAAGGAGAAAATGTTTATACATAATTTATTTCAATAATGTGTGAAAGGATTCAGCTCATCAAGGCATTTAGCAGCAGTTTGAAAGTCATGATTAGATAACTCCACTGATATGCTACTTTATCACGTGATTTGCAAACATCTATTAACATCTCGTATGTCAAGGAATCATGTATCGATTGATAAATTTCTAATTTTTGGATTTGGATTTGTGAACTTTTCCACCCCACCTCGCCACAAAGGCCGACACATCAAACTTTCTTTTGCATCCTTGATAGTTCATAAAACGTATCTTGCCAAATATTGCACGCTCTGCCCAACCTTGATCATGAATTCCACAAATCGACCACATACATCCTACAAATTAAAGATCAACACTTCATTAACAATAAAAATAATAAACTTTCACACTAAAAACAATTTACCATAACTTACCAACAAATCCATTAGGATCTCGTCCATCCAATGAATATCTATCATTCAAATATATTGCAACTGCCAAGGCTTCCTCCGGGGAGCTTGTCCATTCAAGAATTTTCTTTGCCCAATACATTCTAAGAAATCCATGCATTTTACCTTCATTAACAAGCTGTATCTGGGCAGAATTCCACAAATCATCATGTGTTAAAGCCTTATCCAGCTCTTCACGTGTGTAAACATAGTCCCGTTTGTCTTCTCTAGAAAACGTTCAACACAGTATAATCATAATAATAACAATAATACAACAAACATTCCAAGATGGCCTGAATCAATTATCATACATGCATACCGATGATCATCAAGAGTTTTCTTTGCCCAAGCATTTGTGCCCTCAATACTATCATATTTCTCATTGTAATAACAAAAATTATCAGCCAATTCTCGGCGTACTATAGCTTCTTCACAAAATGCATCCACAGAGCTCGGGTATTTGGATTTGTATTCTTTAACTTTGAGAATGCACCTCTGCACAGATATTTGTCCTAATTAAAAATGGTAACATCTTCAATTAAAATTATTTACATAATTAAATTTTAACAAAAATAAAATTAAAAGTGATATTTACCAAAATGAAACCATGGTGATAAATTTGAAAGAGCATCCTGAGTTGGATCATTTCTCTTCTCAGAGAACTTTTTCAATCTCTTCTCACAAAATGATACAAGTGTTTTAAATCCAGCAGTTGTACCAGGAGTTGCCCATTTTACAGGAAGAACAGTTTTATCTATTTCCAAGGTTTTGTTGGCAGCAACCCAATCTATAAGCTGTGTCATTTACATCACATTTGTAACTATGAAATTAATTTAAAAAATATTAACCACCACATAAACCAATGCAAAACTGCAAGTGACTGATATTACAGTAAAAATATGACTAAATAATAACACCATTGGTACTACAAGGCACAGACTCTCCTATTCAACTTTTAACAGTTAAGTAAAATGATAATGAATGCTTTTATAAATTGTATGTAGGTGTCTCAGAAAATGCTACAATGAAATGTACTATTGGCAAAATTACAATAACAAACTGTTTTCAAAAATCATTTTATTTATTTAAACAACCAGAAAAAATTTATATGATTTTTACATAGCATGTTAGGGCTTATAGAGAATTCTAAGATGATCAGAATATATGGTAGAACATTTCATACAATAAATTTACAAATAATATTTGCCCTCTGATTGGTAGCCAACATATCATGCATGTTTGCCAAGGCATTGTGCAGTGGTTTTGGGTGATCTAATTCTGACAGTCGGAGAAACTTTGTAGAATACATAAGGGTAAAAATTTTTCGTGAGGGGGGATACTTTTTTTTTGGATTCTTCAGACCAAATACAAGAAATAATGTTATAATGGAACCTACTATTGTTGTAATTAGTATAATAAACTGTTTTTAAACATGTTATGTACCTAAATAAACAGAATATAAAATTAACATGTTTATATCTTATACCATTATTTTTTAACAAAAAAGTTTTTCATGGAGGAGGGGTGATTGCCCATCCTAGATGGGTTGCCTAATAATAAGGCAAATAGTATGTGTGTGTGTGTGTGTGTGTGAGAGTGCATGTGCATGTGTGTGTGTGCATGTGTGTGTGTGCATGTGTGTGTGTGCATGTGTGCATGTGCGTGTGCGTGTGCATGTGTGCATGTGTGCGTGTGCATGTGTGCGTGTGCGTGTGCGTGTGCGTGTGCGTGTGCGTGTGCGTGTGCGTGTGTGTGTGTGTGTGTGTGTGTGTCTGTCTTTTATTTTGCAACCCATATCTGGAGGCAAATGCTCTACTTGTGGTGATTAGATGACCTGTAAATCTTTGCTCCAGGGACCAGGGCCGGCTATTACTGTTTAATTCAACTGGGTGTTGATGGTCCTCCCTCCCCCTTCCATCTCTCACCGAAAACTTATATGAAGGGAAAAATACAACACACTAATTTTTCAACTTGTCATGTTTGTCACTAAATTGACATCAAATTGTTATCACATATATTTTATGTAACTTCAGCACTTCATTTTCGCAGTACAAAAACAATCGATTGTCATCATGGTGCTATAAACATGTAAAATTGCAATATTGTTGGGCTGATCTTGCAACATCGTTCATTGCATACATGTTTTAAGTTGACGCAATATGGAGAAACTCTTTGGAATTTGGCCTTTATGGAATATTTCACTCACCCCAAATTCCGAGCGAGTATTTGACCCACTCGGAATTTTTCATTTGGATGTAGGTACCCTCCATACCCACAATATCTGCCGGATCTGCTAGAGACATTCCATTTTAAGCGGTGCACAATTAAATAAATTCATCAACTCACCATCACAGAAAAACCATACTTTGTAGATAAATAATATTCCCTTATATTTAGTTGGTTTAAATCCGTTAAAAAAGGAAATTATTGTATGTGGCTCAGAAATGGCGGCCAATTTTGTTTTAAGCATCAAGCTATAGCTTTTTAAACAAAAATGCACTGAATTCAGTAAACTCTGGCCTGGCTTTTTTCTTCTTTTTTTTTTAAATCTATTTTTCCTGTTCTTTTATACCTCACAGCGTAATTACTTAATGTAAAATATCAATGATAAGTAGCAAGCCACTTGAAAATGCCACGCTCCAAAAAATTGGAATTTTGAATTCTTTCCAAAATTTAACAGTAATATCCTGTTGAGAAACCAGATTAAATTTTGAAATTTGCACACTATAAGACTGTAATGACATCAAACTGCAGTATAAATTTCAACTTTAAGACTCAACTAAAGTACGATTTAAAAAATTGTAAATTTACACGAAAACTCCCTCATTTTCACAATGAGGATAAGTGGTTGTAAGTAGTATCATTTTATTTTCCATCCAATTTCAACACAAATCTACTTTACTTTAAAATAATTATTACTTCATTATACATAAATATAAAAGCTGTCTAATATATAATTTTAAATATTACTTCAATGCCATTCAAACTTATTTGTAAATGAAAATAAGGCTACCTTGACATCCAAACTGATAATTCAGTGTTATGAGTTAAATTTAAATACAGTGATTTACAAAACAACAAAACAATGCCTGTCAAACGCAGCGCTGCCAACCGCACAGCCGAAAAGCCTCAGTTTCGTAAAATTATAATAGCGCCATTTCTGTTCGTATTGAAATAGAAATAACTTCTAAAACTGAAAATCAATTATAGTGCATGAGAAGTTATAAATTAATTCATTTAAACATAATACATCAATACAAATTCGACTACACAAAATTGTTCCTTACACCCAGAAACACACTGAGTTTATACCAATGCCCAACAATCAAATGGTAATGGTACATTATTCCAAAGTCTTTGGCTTATACACCCAGCCCAACAAAGTTCATTCTAACAACTTCAAACTACTGTGACGCGACGTTCCATTGTTGCACTGCAATGTGGCAAACTTCTGAAAGATTTTAGCAACAACAAAAAACGAATTTTTGCAAAATTATGCTAAACTGTTCTATTGTTTTTAAATGTACAGCCCCGCGTTTTCATAATCTTTTTGCTAGAAGAATTTAGAGAAAAATTTATTTTTCTTCAAATAGAGAAAAGGACTGTTAAAAAATGCACAGGTATCATTCTTATTCAACTCTAAATCTCCAGCTTGGACTCTACTCTCTGAACTTGGATTTTGACACTACATATTTGAGAAAGTAATTTATTTCATACAAAAGCAAGTAAAACTCAGGTGTTCGGTATCACGGATCTACAAAATCCAAATTTTCAAAGTATCTACTTATTCCCCGCCTCCCAAATTTTAATTTAACATCAATCAAATTAAGCTAAAATATAATACACAGTACTTGCTGAGTAGGAATATTTGATATAATTTTAGGATGTTTCCTATACAATAATGTATTTATATTTCTCAATTCTGTAGGGCCGTTTGGCTGATCAGATTAAAAAAAATTTAAAAAATATCCTTATCAAACTATGGATTATCAGTTTTCATACTCTAAGTTATCTCGGACCCAATGACGGACGATACTCTGAAGTGTGTACAAAATAAGATTTGATAAGATGTAAAATGTTCATGTTTTTGCAAAAATATACAAAATATATTTAACATCATTTTATAAGGGAGATATTAAAGGGCCTTGCTGCAAACAAAAACTTAAGTCTGTAACTGTAAAATCTGTTAATTTTACAATGAAATCTAATAAGAACTAATTTGTAGTAAATTTTGTCTACTTTAATTTTACAATAACATAATTTTTGACATGATTTATAGTTATGGATATGCAAAAACCAAAGAAAAAACATTTTTAAACCCTATCCCCAGCTCACTCCCCACACTTCAGGATTTTAGTATAATGTGTGATAGGTACCAACACTTACACTAATTGTGTTTTGGTTAGTGAATAATTTGCAACAAGATAGCATTTTGGCCCGGATTTCCAACACTCGAAAGTGCTGTCATTAAAGTCATTTGTGAACAGCGAGTCTTATCGCACGGGTGCTATTGCAGAAACGCGCACGTCAGTGCTGTCATACTTCACGCATCAATCCTAACAAATAACAAATTTGCAATTTTTGTTTCGTTTGTCTTCGGGAACTGAAAATTATTTTCCCGCGATTGCTGTTTCCGGGCACCTCCACTATGGTACCGTAAGCGTAGTGAAGGTTTTATCCCTTGAGGTAGTGATGTTATCCCCACCCCGCATATTGGTGAGATTGGCGCCGACGGGGATTTCGCAGGTATTTCTACAGGTATGTTCCCCCACAGGGTCACTGCATCAGTCGGGATATGCATTATGCTCCCGACGTGCACGGTAGAGTACTAAGTGCAGCAGACTTGGGCATTATCGAAAATACTTGTATTTAAAATACGAATTTTCAATACCTTTATAATTTGTTTTCTGTATCGAAAATCTATATTTAAACGTGTATTTTCTATTGAAAATACTTTCTTTGTATTTTTAAACCACAAAAATACTTTTTTTATTGATCCACTGTTAAAATTTGAATTTTCGCATACAAACGTCAAAAACAATCATCGATAACACGAATATTTCTTTTTAATTCGAAGCAATTTTTCATTCACTGTAGCAGTATTTTAAAGAACGTTTTTGATAACTCAAAATGTCGGTTAATCGAAGAAAATTTATTTCCGGGGACACCCGAGATATCGATTAACAGATTCTGGAGACCACTTAAAAGACGTTTTATTAGATTGCCACATTGTGCATTTCCGCCTGTCTGGATGGTAGTTGCGAGTATTGGTTAAAAGCTTGTACTTGCGCCGCGTAAAGAGCTAATCTCACGTTATGAAACGTGCTATTCTAGATGGCACATATTTCGCTGTTATTGAAGAGTTCAGTGCTAAAATGAAAGCGTCATATGAAACTTCTAATCCTGCCAAATAGACAATAATAAATGGTTCTTACAATATAACCACAAATTTTGAGACACACGTAAAGCAAAAAAATAAGTAGTTATTTTGTAAATTTTAAAATGCACATAATGATGTACAATAGACTATGAATTTCACTCATTCTTTTTACTACAGAAATGATAAATTTTATTAATTAAATTTCATTTTTGCACATTTTAGAGGATTCCTCTTGGTGTGATGAGTGAATTTGAAAACTTAGTGGTGCTACAGAATGGCACACTTTCTCAAACTCGTTTCAAATTACTTTGGTCTTAAGTTTCGGGCCTTTTTTCGATCTTGCCACATATTCTTGCAGGCTGCCATCTACAGCCACCCAAAAGGATTTTTTTTTTAATTTTCTCGATTTTTTGGTTTCCAAATGGTAGAATTGAAATACTTCTTCTGGAGTATTAAAGAAGACTAAAATCTTGTCTTATATGGAAATTTGGTTGAAAACTTTGGAGCCAGTTAAAAAAAATTGTTTAAACTTTTTTTGTAAATGCGAAATTAGAAGTTTTTTACAGAAATCTTTAGAGTTTTCGAAAAACTTTATTAGAAGTAATTTTAAGCACATCCATTCACAAATGCAATAATGTACACAAATCGCTGTAAATGTGCATATTAAAGGCGTGAGAGAAGGACGGACACACGTTTGGCCGTCAATCGATTTTTCGGTATCAAGGACTCACACATGAATTCTGGCTACACCACAAGTCAGAGGATTTATTTTTAATTTGGCAACTGTATTTATCCACTTTTTCATTTCAAGGCACGGCAATACGGTTCTTTCTGCCGAAAATTCGCCCTTATTTTTCGCGCAGCATGACATAGCTTCCGCTCTACTTCGTAAGCAGTAGCGAGAAAGTAGAAGGAAACGGTCAAACATTTGATCTTGTTAAAAATTCGATATTAATGGATTATCAATTACAATAAGAAACATTACTAATACATGTTTGAAAAACTATTAACTTTAAAGGGAAATGTGCCCAATTGTACATACCACAACCAAGGTTGGACAAAATACTTGTGAAACGTCGGCAATGCTCTGAGCTAAATCAGCCTGCCCCAGAAAATTAATTTCGGCAATGGCTAACTATCTTGAGAACTTCGACTCTTACGATGCATATTGAACAACCTTGAACCAACACCAACCTACATCCAACCTATGTAAAACGGAATGCAAACTAGAACTATTGGGAAGGGGTATATCAATATCCATTTAACAGATTCATTAAATATGTCTGTTCTGTAATAGATAATAGTTTTCATCATTCCACCAGTATTCACAATGAAATTGCAGGGACAATAAGGAAATACAATGTCATTTAAGGTGTTGAAAATGTGGTTAATAAAAAATGAAATGTTTATTGTCAAATAGTTGAAATTTTGAGAAATGAACTTACCTACTGGCTTGAAACAGTAACAGATTCTGAACTCTAGAGACATTTAAACATTGGGAATAAAAGGTACTTGTGCAAGAGCTTTCTGTAGGAATTACAGCTGCTAAAGAATCAGATCTAAGTTTTGCAGATTCGTTGGTAATGTAAACAACATTATAGCCCTGATTTTTAGGGCTACATGTTTCATTTTCTAGCTCAGGTAATCATTTAATTGCCTTTCAAAATGTTTTTTAAACAAATTAAAATAATCTAATTGCAAATCTTGATATCTGAATTTGGATTTCAGAAAATGAACTTTGCCTGTCTACATAACCTTGCCTAAAAGATCTACTGAAAAAGATTATATATCTACACTCTGGAGCATCACTTAAGTAAAAAAATCTTTAGGTCTCCCACAAGAAAATATCCCATGGTTCCCCTATCTTATTTTGATTTTGAGAATATTGTAAGAGAGGAAGAATATCTTGAAAATTTCTTACTTTTCTGCAAACATTTTAAAACAGTGAAATCACCCTCCAAAACTCAGCAATTTTTTATATTTTGGAAAAATCTAATATATCCAATCCTCTTCCAGCTATTAAAGGGACTAAATGTATGTCACCATGACACATGAAATTCACTTTAATGAATTTTTATCAAGGAGTAGTGAACTGAATAATGGTCAAAAAGATTGCTGGGGTTGGAAGATATCCATTGCTAAGCACTTTCAAGCAAAAAGAGTAACTTTTTTTATTATTTCTTATGTTTCCACAATCTCAAGTTAATGTGTAGAATAAAATGCTTTATTTCCTAGAAGGTGCTATTGCATTTCTAAAACTTTGTTCCATAGTGAAATTAGGCACATATATATTTACAAAACAGCAGGGAAACAAAATTTAAACACCAAAGAATAACCAACATGAATACTATTAACAGAACTGAGATGCTATATTTTTTAATATTGTAACTGTGAAATAAGTTCTGGATTACATGGCATCAAATAATTGTATTATAGACTGAAGAAATCTGAGCTATAGGGTCAATATTATATTAAAATGATCACATTTGGGCATTATGATAGGGGGAGGAGCGGGCACTTGATTTTTCTTCTACATTACATACTGTTTTACATACATAATTAAATAATAACTCTATACTATTTACACAGAAAAATTGTTTTTTATATATTTAAAGTGACTTACTGGAGCTTTTGTACTGGCATCATGAGGATGTTTAATAACAGGAGGGAAGCCCGTCAAAAATTCTGGTAACTTCGTATTGATTTTGTTTCGGATTGTTCGAGCCCCATATTCCAACTTGTCCGATGCAATCCAGCATGGAACAATGTTGTGAGCATCCACCTTGATGGAAACCACCAATGTTAAATCAGCAATACTTAACTTAAGTATTTCTTAAAACAACCACCTCTTCATATACCTGGCAGAATGGTACATTCTCTGGTAATTTACTTTTAACTTCATTCACCCATTGCAAAGGAACACGAAGTGGAGCAAAATCTGTCACTACTGCACCAATATTTGTTTTGGAAACAAACTCGGGCAAAACTTTCACAGCATAACCCAAAAACAAATGAAATTGTATATTTAAAGAATGGCATTCTTCAGCAACCTCTTCTAAACCTGTTAAAACCAGAATATTTATTATTTTGTAAGACAAATTTACTGCAACTCATTTATACATTTCTACATATTGCTAAACTTGTATCAAATACTATTACTAGTTTAACATATTTTATTTATTGTGAAATATTTTCTAAGACATGGACAATAATTAGGATAACTATACCTTTTAAAAGAAAATCGTAGTGTCTTATTGTTGCATCAAGAAACTTTGGAACTAAACAAAAACAAACATGTAATCCCACCTTATTCTTCAATGCCAGTTTTTGGGCATACAGCAATGCCCAATTATCTGAAATTTAAAAATAATATCATGAATATTTGTCAAATTTCGAATATTTAGATATCAGTAATATTGTTTAACCTTGTACACGTTGATCTCGAGACATCCAATATAATACTCCCTGAGTAGATTCTGGAACCTCTGTTGCTCTTGACAGAACACGAATCCTTTTCTTATTGAATTTGAAATCTGATACAGACGAAGCCACCTGTAAACTCAATGTTACCTTTACTTTCTAAAAACTTGGTCAATAATGACATAGGTAAGCCGGAAACCTTTTCTTTACCTTCAGACGATGTTCAATTAATTCTCTAAGAATACTGGACGCATCACTTGAATCTTCAGACGTTTTGGAGTTTGACGCAACATCTAGTTTTATCTTCTTGGCTGGTATTTTACTACTCATTTTATATAGTTTAATTTTCTAATGAAGTTGAACAAAATACTCAATGTTCTTGTACAAAAAATTTACACTTGTGAAGATTCGCAAGAATTGGCGTTCACTAAAATTGATAATTAGTAGAGGGTTTGAAATAGGTTTATGCAATTATCATTATTACCAGTAAAATAAATAAGGTGTACTCAAATTCACTGGAGTTTACCGATTTTCATGCTGTGAAATGAACATGCAGTTTAAATAAATTATACCACTAACCAACACCATATAATCATACAGCCATTTCCCGCATTTGCTTTCGACAACTGACGTCACATGAACACGGAATTATGGGACTGTCGTCTGTTGTACTGATACGCTACATACTAAACGATACTCGGACAGCTAGGCGTTTCCAGTTTCCGTGGTTGCATTACTTTCATAGTTATCCCGGTGACAGTTTGTGAATATTTTGGACAGCATTATAAGTTTGGAACCTTTGAAAGGGTAGGAGAGGTGTATACAAATATTACATTGCATATTTATTAGTGAAAACTGATCTCACAGATACTGGTGATACTTTTAAGTTATAATTGTTTTAGTACAATGTGGACTCAACAACACAAAAAATCTATGTAGGGTTATTTTATTTTAACATTCTTGTAATCTAGAAGTGTATATATGGACCCCTACGCCCCGGCCAATCACGGCGAAGGAGGTCACGTGGTGTAAGTCTTCGTGGCGTTCTAGGTTTTCAGCTGCTTGACGAGGCAGCTGCAGGTCAGCTGCGCTAATCGGCTAAGCAATGAAGTTTTGAACCTTCCTTTATGTTCTGGCCCTCATAAGGGATTGTTTTGATTCATTCGGGAGCATTAACGACGTTTTTCGAAATGACTATTATAGTTTTTCTCATAGACACCTCTGCTTCTATGAATCAGAGGGTTTATTTGGGTAGACGCCCAACGCTGCTAGACGTTGCGAAAGAAGCTGTTGAAACGTTCGTAAAGGTATGTCAATTTTGACGGTATTGTAACTTCGCGGGAATCTTCTAGTTTTTCAAAAAGTACAATTTCATATTATTTTGTATTTTGTTAATCTTAGGTACGTCAAAGATCCCCGGAAAGTAGAGGCGACAGGTACATGTTACTAACATTCGAAGATCCGCCCGCTCACATAAAGGTAAGCGCTGCTACTAATATGGAAGCAAGGTACTTACAGAATAATATTCTACTTAAAATATATTTTATATTTTATTTATATTAATTTAGGAAAGTCATTGTGCTTTTTAATTTTGTTTTCTCGTAGTCGCTTTTGTCATTCTTCATGCGTTTACCTTCTCCATGCATTACGTGAGACGGGAGGGGGCGGGAGTGGGAATGCGCATATCACATGCGCACTTGTCAATAGCCTTGTGCTGTGCTTGAGCAGCAACGGTGCGCGAGTGGGTGTATTAACAACTAGTTAAGGCATGTTGTCCATGATTTGCTGTTTAACTTCGGTGGCCTTTGCAAATTCGGAAGTTGCGTCTGAAAACAAATAAAGAAAATATTTAGGTCCCCTTCCCAATTTTTTTTTCTCGCGAACAAACAAAAATTAATTTCAATAATAGTTCTGAAATTCGTTTTTCTGGAAAAGAATAGCCAAAAATGTGCCCTTACTGCAAGCCTTTCCTCTATAATTATATTTGGCCCATTTGTAACAATTTTTTTAAAATGTTTTTTTCTTCATGAAGTAAAAATTGCTTACATTCTGAGAAGTGCACAATTCCAGTGTTATTCAGAGTATTTAATATATGGGATAATTTATTTCGGTCTCTTTATATTATTTGTTCATTTAATTATTTAAACATAGGTGTGTAATTAGTTTTGTTTGTATTTAATACTTTTGACAAAAAATGGAGATTAACACTTCGAAATCAGTTTGTTTATTTAAAGTAAAAAAATGAACGTTAAAATCTGTATTGCCTTACCATGGAGAGAGTGCAATCTGCACATTTTCTTTAGCTCAGGATTCCGTACCCTAACTCAAAAATAAATAAATGTACCAAAGAGTTTTTTTTGGCAAGAATTGATAAGAAAATATTTACTCCCATGTAATAAAATTATTTGCAAAGGCAAATTGGCTACAGATTTTGAATAATTAATATTCTAATACAATTATTTTATTATTACATTATTATTATTATTGTATGATATAATTTGCGATTAATTTTATATTTTTCTTTTAGGCTGGTTGGAAAGAAAACCTTGCTACATTTATGAATGAGCTAAAGAATTTGCAGTGTGTAGGTATGACAACAATGGGTGCAGCATTAAAACACACATTTGATGTTTTAAACATCAATCGCATGCAAACTGGAATTGATACTTATGGACAAGGTCGTTGTCCCTTTTACTTGGAGCCATCTGTAATTGTTGTTATTACAGATGGTGGAAAATTATCTACCAGCACTGCTGTTCAGGAAGATGTATGTATGAGTTATTGACTGTTTTGTTTAGGGAATTTAGTGTGAATTAAATGTTTTTGTCTTCACATTTTTGTAATAATGATATTGATTGCAGTTTAACTTGCCAATGCATTCACCAATTCCTGGGTCTGAGTTAACAAGAGAGCCATTCCGTTGGGACCAGCGTTTGTTTTCTCTGGTTCTTCGTTTAGCAGGGACTCCTTCAATTGGTCGTGACATAGGGCATGTACCAAATGATACATCTCCAATTGATGCAATGTGTGAAGTAACCGGAGGTATAATATTCTATAAGTTACTTTATATTTTTCTCTCTTGTTAATTGTATAATCTAATGTAATTGTTCATATTCTTTTATAATAGCGGGGAAGGTTTGCATATGTTGTTTATAAATAATAAGTTCCTAATACTGTTTAAAAGTGAACTTTGTTTTCTAGGACGCTCTTACTCGATCACATCTCACAGAATGTTAATGCAATGCATTGATAGTTTGGTTCAAAAAGTGCAGAGTGGTGTGGTGATCAATTTTGAGAAAATTGGGCCAGATCCATTACCTATCAATGTTGAAGGTAAGTTGTAGTTGTTGTTTTGTATTTAGGTGTGTTCTAAAATAGTAATTCCAATACCAAGCATTCAAATTTTCATTCTGGGTATTAAATATAGGTAAGGATAACACTGATGGATTGATAATAGACGAGAGTGAAAAAAGTGGTGAAAGGGAGTGGGACAAAGAATTTCAGCAAACTGAAGATGATGGTATTAAAAACGGGGTAAGACTTTAAATATTTGCTTTGTCTTAAAATAATAAAGTGTTATGTATTTCTGTTGTTTATTACAATGTTGTTTCTTCATTAGTCTCGTCTTCCTAATGGAACCACTGCTCTGAATAACAATACAGCATGGCATTCCTGTAGAAGATTAATTTACGTTCCAAGATCTGCTCAAAAAGGTTTTGCTGTTGGATTCTGGCCTATTCCAGAATCATTTTGGCCAGATTTAAGTTCATCATCATTGGTAATTTTATTTTATCTTAAAGGAGTGAATAATTGTATCAGTAGGTTGTTAATAAATTATGCCACTGTTTTGCAGCCTCCAAGAACTGCACACCCTAATGTAAAGTTTACATGTACCAGTCAAGAACCTATGGTTATTGAGAGTTTGCCATTTGACAAATATGAATTAGAACCGAGCCCCATGACTCAGTTCATTTTGTCTCGTAAGCAGCCTACTACATGTTGGCAAGTAAGTACACGAACAAATGAAAATTCAGCTACAAAATATACACGAGTACAGTTTTAAATAATGTTTCTTGTTTTTCAGGTGTTTGTTGCTAATAGTTATAAAAATTCAGATGTTGGCCATCCTTTTGGGTATCTCAAAGCAAGTACAAATCTCACCTGTGTAAATTTGTTTGTTATGCCATATAATTATCCTGTGCTGATGCCTTTATTGGATGACTTGACCAAAGTGCATAGGATGAAACCGACTAATGAGTGGCGAGCACAGTTTCAAAATTATCTTCGAACAATGCCATCGTATTATGCAGGAGTATGTTCTGATTCATTTGACTGTTTTTGTTTTTTCTTCAAATATTGCAATGCATGTTTTTTTTTATACCTTCCAGCCTTTACGGAGAGCTTTGACTCGTATGGGTGTGATGGGAACATTGGCTCAGTCATTAGTGCCAGATACACTAGATAATTCACTTAGTTACAGTGTTTTGAACTATTTAAAAAGGCTTAAAAATCAAGCAAAGATGGAATTTGAAAGATTATGTTCGGAAGTTGGAAGTAAGAATGCCAATAATAGTGGAGGAAAACCCAATCAAAATTCTTCTTCAGTGGTTACTGATGGTATTAGAGTGACTGCAAGATCAACATTAAAAAAGGATCTTGTTTCTCACCCGTTATTGCAAGGTAAATAAATAATGATTTCTTTGTTGTTGTTGCGACTTCAATTTGTTGTAAAACATACATTTTATTTCAGATAAATTTACTTCTCTGCGTGAACAATTAAATGAGTTTGGTGGGTTTGTGGTTGGACTTGTGCGTGGTCAGTGTCAAAAAGGACGCCAAAGTTACCGAAACCCGTACGACATTCCAAGACACTGTCTTCTTGACCAAGTGGTACGGATGCGAGCTAATTTTTTGCAGCCTTCTTTAGCTCACACTAAACTTGTAGACGAAGGTAAACTTAATGTTATTATTGAAAATAATTTATATTTTATGACATACAGTGCAGAAAAGATTCAGAATGAAATGTGCTTCATTCTGATTTGTGTGAATTGGGTGGTAAGTTGGTTGGTTAATGTTGTTGTGTAAAGGTGTTAATAAATTATTTCACTTCTAATTTGGTTTTACTGTGCTTTGATCAGACCATCTGCATAGCATGCCTGTGGGACAAATGGGTAATTATCAAGAGTACTTGAAACGCATGACACCTCAACTTCGAGAAATTGAATCTACACCTGTTCGACAGCATATGTTTGGCAACCCATTCAAGATTGATAAGGTAAAATCAATTGTTAGAAAAATTATACAGAATGATCTGCAATATATGAATTGGAATGGTATTGAAATAGCATATAAATTGCTCAATAATTGCAGTAATTTAGTTCCTTGCTCATATGCTGTGGAACTTCCTGTTACTTTTGATTTGTGGTCATTATCATTTAACACGTAATATTATCATGTCATTTCCTTCCCAGCGAATGATGGTGGATGAGGCTGATATTGAGCCGGTAACAGGTTCAAGTGCGGGTCACAGTTCGGGTGGTTCACACCGGGGTTTCAAACGCGGTGCTTCGCACTTGAGTAGTGATCTTGCCTCGGGACGGCCTCCCAACAAAAGAAAACCAGGACCTATTCCTAAAGACACGGTTGTGCGTCGACCATCATCTCCATTTCCATTGTTGCCTCTTACATCCCCAAGCTCTCCAGGTGTTCCCCCAGTTACCCCTCCCCCTTGGCCATCAACTGCGTTTTCAGCAGATCTTGCCCCTCCTGTGCTATCTCCTGTTGTGTCTGTGCCTGGCCATCAACCCTCACCTCCTGCTAGCCCTGCTGATGCTGGAAGGGATGAACCAGATAGAGGGGTTGAACCACCTAAATTGGTTTTAGTTAATGGAGATATAGGTAAGCAAATTCAAAATATTATGGTGCCAAACTTATTGTAACATTAAATTTTAAGGTCTTTAATGCAATTGTAGTTCAGTGACATATTATCTCTGTTACAGTAACTTATTACTAACTTGTTTTATTTATTGTATAGTTTTGTAAAATATTTTGCAAATTTTCAGTGTTTTTTTACAGTGTAATTCATTTTAACTTTTACTCTGTAGGTGATAATAACATTCAGGCACTCAATGGACCTCCTCGATCACGATCACCATCTCCTCCAAATGAAGTCATAAGTCATGTTCTTCCAGAACCAGTGAACAATCACATATCAGACACACATAGTTCGCCACTCTTCTTACGCCCCTCACCTCCCACAAGTCCTGCATTAGTTAATCATTTTGCTTACTCAACGAATGAAAGTGAAGACAGGAAAAGTGGTCTAAATTCAGCAGAAGTGGGCAGTAACCATGTTGGAACCTTGGGTCAAGTGTCTCTTGTACCTGCCAAACAACTTACCAAGAAAGAACTGGGAGAAATTAGAAAACACAATCTTAACATTCGTGCAATGGCTTACAAAGAAATTCGAAGGCCAGGGAAAAGTGAGTTATCAATTTGTTCCTTCGTTGCTAGTACCGGCAGTATTGTGCATTGTTGCTAGTAATAAAAAAATCAGTTTTGAACCTAAGTAGTAACATTATCTACTGGTTGGAAAGATAGAAATATTTGAAATCTTTTAATTCTTTTATGGAGTATTTATAACTTGTAATTCATTTCTTTCCAGACTTCGGGCCTCTCTTCAATATATTGCAGGATCTTAAAGGCAGTTTAGAGGTACGAGTAGCACTGTTGCGTGATGTTATCAATGAATCGTTGCGGTTTAAACGGCGTTCTTTGGCTCTGTTGTTAGAGGAATTTTTAGAAACAATGATGTCTACAAACAATCATAATTCATTGACATTTATTAATCCACCCACAAGTAATGGACTTTCGAGATTATGATAACATTATGTTCCAAAGTGCTGAATTTGAGTGAATTTGTTAGGTCAAACTACGCTTGTTTAATGAAAATGACGCACAAACTTAACACAGTTGAGTTAAAACTTTTGTTAAATATGTTCTGTGTGACCAAACTATTGTGTCAAGTCAGAAATTTATAAATAGTGAAATATTTTGTTGTCATGTTCCTGTCTGCCCTTTGTGTAGCAGATATGTGGATTTGTATATTTTGTCCTGCATGTCTATTGACATGGTACAGGTAACGACGTTACCAATGTTAGGGTCATCTTGAGAAGTAGAAGTTTTGTATTCCATCGAAATGTTAGCGGTACAGTGACTGTTGAAATTATGCTTGTGCATTGTTTTAAAGAATGTAAAATGATTTATTACTGTTTCTTTGTTTTTGTCCTAGCTTCAGTTATTTGAAGAATCTGTTCAGATAATTAGATGCTAACAAATTCTAAGCTTTAAAAAGTTGACAAAAATACATTCCTAGGGTTTCTGCCCTTGGATGCTGTCTACGGGTAATTGTACATAAGTTTGCAAAACACTTAAAGTCTCAATTGAAAATTGCAATAAATTTCTAAACTTAATGAAACATTATCTGGTGATTCAGCATTATAAACAATCAAAATATTAATGAATAATATTCATTTATAGTCACCAACTGATACTACTGTAAATTATTCAAGTACATATTTTAATAATGAAATATTGCAAAGAACAGTGAAGGATTTCTTAGAATCATTTTGGGTTCAGGATCAACAACACTGTTGCCCCTTTGTATGTATATAGGAAAATGATCTTGTAAAAAATTACTGTAATTTCTCCATGAAAATGATTTCGAAATATAATTTGTATAATAATGGGTAATGAATTGATCATTAATTCCAGTATATAGTAATGGTTCTGTTTTTAAGTTATTCAAGATACACAACAAATTTTAGTTCTGAAGAAGTATTTTGATATACTTTGTAGTCGTTTAATTCCAATATTGAAACAAAGGAGGAACCTGGAGGAAAATGTATGATTTTGAAAAATTTTAATGCCCTCTTGCTAAATCTTTTTCTTTTTTATTTTACAATTGATTTTCACTTATGAGTAGCTGTTTGCATTTGAGGCAGTATGTAGGTACATATATTTTAGGTCACATTTCAGTTACACTAAGTTTTTATTTTTTACATAATTATTTTGTGTTCATTACAAAATTGTTTTTCATGAACATTAGTCTATGAGAAATTATAACTCTTCATGGGAAAACATGAGGATTGGAATCAATGATAACTTCAGCTTGAATGCAGCATCCCAGTGTTGAAAAGTAAATTTCCTCCATTATTTTATTGGAATCTTCTGGTTGGTGGAAATGCGTCTTTCATAGAGGTTTTTGACAGTTTTTAAATTCTAGAATTATATTGTTCATTTGACAAGAGTGAAATTTTATTTCTTAAGAAATCTTTATCATTTATCAGTCACTTACTTCTTGCAAAAGTACACTTCAGATAAAAAGCCAGACGATAATTTAATCCTTATGATATGTAATTTGATCTCTGTGATTAGAAACGCACATCTGTTTCTTATTAATAGCAATGAGTCAGCATCAGGGCAAAATGGTAGTGACTGTGACAAATTGATTTCGGAAAGTAAGGTTTAATTTTACACCGTTTGTAGCTGTCTTCCATTAATGTAAGATTGTTATTGAAATTTTGTTACTGATTGTCCTGTATGTAATTAGTTCGTGAAAGTCAGCAAGGCAGAAGATTGGTTTCATATGACCTCTCTTATTACATATTATGTTAGATCACTTATTATTCTACTGATATTGAGAAGTGTTTTGGAATCCCTATTTGTAAATTGCTTATGAAAATAACGTACAAAAAAGATATGTATTCGTCTAGCCATTCATTATGCCCGTGTGTGTGTGTGTTCAGTGATCTTAAATGTTAGGTAGTTTTGTATTTATACTGTATATATTTGTTTTGTATCATGTAAATTTTTAATTAGTAATAATAGTGAAAATGAAATACATTTCAGATGATTTTAGAACATTTTGAACCTCTGTATTCCAGATGTTAGAGAGTAGAATGTTTTATTTCTCTAATTCTATTTCAGTACCTAACAAATGTGATGGGAGTGGACCACTCTAAATTGGCATAATAAACAAGCTTCTTTGGTAAGTTTCATCAAAACAGGCTATGAATAATCCATAGTTTGCAGAGGTAGAGGTGAGTAAAGGTTGCAGCCTTGCTACATAAGTTATGGATTATTAAAACAGGGTGAATGAAACACGCTAAAATGAATTAATACCAAGAATTGTTACTACAACACTTGAAGAATGAGGTGAACACAGACATGAAAAGAACGGGATTTTGGCACAAAGGGCCAGATGCAATGCCCCTAGGAAACCTAACTTGCCACAAGAAATTCAATAAGATTCTTCAAGTGTTATTTTTAATAATGGCTCTTTGGCAAACTATGCTTTATTTACAGGTATGATTAAGCCAACTAGCAAAACCAAAGGATTTAACTAGTAAACAGTGGTTCCTTTCCATATCATCCTGAAAGATGAAGATGATTGATAGGATGCATGTCATGAGCCACAGGGGGAGATTCTCTCTGGTGAGTAGGGATAGAGTCAATGGTTCCAAAGACCATTCTTGTTAAAACGGTTTAAAGAAACCTAATTGTTTAATTTTAAAGTTAAATACTATGGTATTGTACCTTTTTTATATAGCCTGTCAGTGTTCAAGAATGTAAATTTTGGTCTGCTGGTGCCCTAGCATTAATAACATTTGATCAGTTTTATTTTTTCAGGTTTAGGAGCACGATAATCTGCTCCACTATCTTAAAATTGAGGTGTCATTGGTAGCAATTTTATTTTGATATTAAGATACTTTGGCAAGGTTTTAGCGCATTTCACAAGTTAAAAAGAAAGAGGATCATATTTAATTTAAGAGGAAAGGGAGGAATAGACAAACTAAAAATACACTACTATCCAGTGAGGACATCAGGGTTTTCTGCATCAATCCAGCAATGTGGATCATCGTAATTATGCAGTTCCGAAGGAGGGGAATTGACAGAAAATAATTTTCAACTAAGTGCTTTGTAAAGGGAGTTTTTTCTTCAATGGAGCTTAGTACTTTGCAACAATTGCACTAGCAATTAACTGGTGGGATGCTTGCATGAAAATGTGTGTATGGTCCAGTCTCCCCAAATGCAATAAAGAAACACCTAGAGTGAATGCTGAATGCTTGACAAATGATACTTGATTGGGAGGGACAAGAATCTAGGTATTCTTAAAATTTCAGCATTTCCAGCTAATGGGAGGCGCTATATTTTCAAATCAACAAAGGTATGTAAATATTTTTAATTAAAATTTTGGAAAAAGATTTTAATGGAAAGGTCCAGAAGAGTAATTGAGAAATCTAAAGTTAAACTTCAGTAATTTATGAGGAATATATGGGGGGGGTGCGAAGTAGCTACTAAGCTAGCGATGTAGCAAAAGCTGAGGGGGGGGGGGAAGGGCGTGTGATATTGTCATGACCATCGCTGTGCGAGGACGGGTGGGTCGAGATTGCAAACAATACGCACGTGATACACTGACCGTATGCACTGCTCTGCACAGTACCGTACAACATTGACGTGCCAGTGCGGAATAGAGCAGTGGCTGAGTACAATTGTGATGCTAGGTGGTGGTTTGTAATTATTTTGGTATTCTAGGGGCCATTTTGCAAAGTAAATATTTTGGAAGCAAGTTATCGGGCGAAGGTTTACCAGAAGACTTTTGTATCCAGACAATCACTATTCAATGTGAGGTTATGTGATTGAATTTGTTTTGCCCATAAGCAAGCGTCGCAATTCAGGAATACACGGATCGCAATGGATTCGTGGAGTGATGACGATGACTGGTTCTACGAATCCATAAAACGGTAAATATATTTACAAATCTGGTATGCACGATATTCATGCAAGATTATTTTTTTTAATTGCAGTATTACGTAACGCTTACTTTCACTAGCGCCGAGGTGGGCTTTCCTAAAATCATCGGTTTGGAGCGTATTTCAAATTTCTATGTGTAGCTGAATCTTCAGTTTCGGAAGTTAGCACAGATTTATTTTTCAGGTACGATTTACTACTCATGTTCGATTTTTCGTCACCCGTCAAATTTATTGAATTCAACGATTTGGATAGCGTTTGTCTGATATTTGAAGAGGAAAACTGTCGGAATGAATTGTCATGCTTTTCGCTTCCCAAGAAGTTGACTGTATTGAGAGAACATGAAGGTCTGGAAAAAGATTCTGATTTTCGCCTTCTTAGTGGCGGATTTTCTCAGAAATCTGTAATCCAAGTTAGTACTACTAAAAAAAGACAAGTTTTTGCACAAAATTAAATGTCAATGTATTTTTAATTGATTATAAACTTTGATACTTGTTGAATTAACATTCAATGGGGCATTATGGTGTTTTGTTAGGAAATGAATAACAAGCTTTTATTGCCAAGTCAGCACAAATGTTTTTGAACAATACATCAGAATTTACTGTTTACAATTGACATTTGACAATATTTCCCACTGGGCATTTGTAATTTACTAGTGAATGAGTATTCGTGAATAACTATTTGGTTGGAAAATTCTTCAGATTTATGATTGGTTATAGGTAAAAATACTTAAAGGCACCAACACAATGCTAGCTTCAGAAAAAGATCTCTGTGGATTGAGTGTTTATAAAATTCCTTCTGAAAATTCAGGTAAGTTTTTAAACATTTAGTAACATTATCATCAAACTCCACTGAACATAATAATTTTGATATTTTCCTTTAGGTATCATTCATCATACAAACACAATTCACAATGAGCTTTTATCTCCAAAACTGTCTCATAATAAATTGGATTCTTTAGCTATGGCAGACACAAATAAAAAGAATGTTGTTCTTCTTGACACAAAGGGATTTGTTGTCAAAGGAAAAATTAAAACTGAGGAGTATGAGGAAGAGAGCGTAATTATTCCAGAATTTGTTTCACCTCATTCATTAGGACTCTGCAATACAGAAACTGGTTCTGTTAGTATTTATGATACCCGCTGTGCCACAAAATGCAGCATGTTGCACTCAGGTAAAACCCAACATTATCTGTAGGGAATGGGCCTTATATCAGAGAAACTGTATTTATTTGCACTTACCTACACACTAGGTTAAATGTAAAATATTAATATAATATTTGTATATATCCTACTGTGCCCTTGATCAGTTACACTCACATTTTTCGTCATCTGATTTGTTGAAGTATTTCAAATACGTAAAAGATTGTTTTATATGTACACAGTACGAACCACAGATAATTTCTATTGCTGCAAACGTAATAAAACATTTAACAGTGAAGTATTAAAGAAGACGTTCACTCAATACTGAACTTTTTTATGGTATTAGTTAGAATGATATACATGATGTAAATTAAAACATGTTACTGCTTGTGTATATTTAATTACTACAAACTTTTCTATAAAATACTCTCAAAAGAAAAAAAGATGTATTATGTTTTAGTCCGACAAGAAAGTCCTTTGCTTCATATACAAAAGATTATGGACACTGGTTCATCTTTCCATGTTTGGTTAAACTAGTTAAAAGAAGGTATAAAATATCTAAAGTGTATTCAAAATAAAGTAAAGGTGGTAGCAATATGAAATATCACATTACTACTGATAATTTGTAGTAATAAACGTTTCTTTTACAGCTCAACCATTTCCGAAAACTCAATGGACACTGTCTTCCAGTTTTCTCAGCACTTCCCATATAGCCGACAGTACTGATGAAACAAAGCTGGGTCTTCTGTCTACAAGTGGCATCATAAGTGTACTTGACACTCGCAATCCTCAACACACCCTAAGCTGTGAAAAAGGGAAAGATATATGCAGTCGTTCAGCTAAAAGAAACATACCAAAAATCCAATTCTGTCCTTCAAAGTTTCCCTTGTTATCCATTTCAGGTTTTAATCCAAATATTTACATTTATGATTTTTCCTCAGAGAACATGAAAAATATATTTGTCCACGATGGTCATCACAGAAGTAGCTCCACATGTGAGAACATTACTACTGATCATGTTTGGTACAAAAATTCTGTTATGTCAGCTTGTGACAACTTAAGTGTACATTGCTGGGAGTACACAAGATAGAACTGAAATTGTTTAACTCCAACTGGTATTTAAAAAGGAAACATCGGATGAAGTAAAGTGAATTATTCACACAGTAAAAAAATTAAATTCAAATGACAATTTCAGTATTTCACAAAGAATAATGTTGCATTCTTTTGAATGAAGCTTGCACATGTATTGTTAAAATAAAATAATACATAAAAAGGAATTATCAAAATATATTAAAACCTACCTTACTATCCAATCCCCAAAACCGCACGTATTTTACCGCCAGATGCGACATGTGTTATCTTTGGAAGCAGTAATTATAACATGACCCGAATAACTGAAGCAGCATGAAAATACATCATCTTTGTGTCCAGAAAGGACTTGACTACAAATCCCGGTTTCCGCATTCCACAAGCGTGCAGTTTGATCTAAAGATGCTGTAAGAAGTTGATTTCCAGCTGGGCTGAAGCACACCTAAAAGCAAGATTGTAGAATTGGCCATTTGTATAGCACTTCACATTTAGAAATGTTGCTACATCTTGATAATTATTATAGAAATGCATTACGAGGATACAATATCAAATAAAATAATTGAGGGGTTGTGTTGGAGATAGTCATTAGCCACAAAATTCTTTACAGGAGAGCATTTTGAAACTGTGTATTCAACGTATTTCTAACCTTCGCAATGACGCAGAGAAAAACATTGGCTTATAACTTCATTTGCCACTCAGTTAAAATAAAGAATTACGAGACACTGCTACAAACTTTCTATACCAATAAGAAAAGTAAAAACCGTCAAGAGTGTGGCTTATGACTATCTCAGATGCAACTGATCAATTATTCATGATTTTTTTTAAATTATTGTTTTAATTTAGTCATGTAATAAGAGCGATTCTGCACATCGCTCCTTCGTTTAACCGAACAATACTTGCTTGGGTAAACGAACTTCAGATTTGATATTACTGTAGGTTATTGGTATCGCATTACTCCGCCTGTAAGCAGGGAGGCCAAAATGCCCTATCAAGACCAAGCAAAGGTGGGGGAGAGGACGAAATGAAGATATTCTTTTTATTACGTTATACGGTTTGTAGAAACCTCTACCACGCCACTTAACCGAAAGCTGTATCCATGCCCTAACAAGACTCGAAATCGTCACCACTGCACTTCCAGCGATCTCGACCACATAGTTGCTGAATTGAGCACAAGCGTCTGAAGAAAGTAATGCACCACAATAATAATGGTTGTTGATTTTAACCCTACCAAGCTTCATATTTCCAGCGGTAGTGTACGAAGTTTCAATTTGCCAATTCCTTCACGAACTGTTAAAATATCAGCTCTAGACGACATGAGTTACAAACAGCGTGCAGCGACTGACTTCCTCGTGGTAAAGGAAACTGTTCTGAATATCCATAAACACTTGTGTACAATGTGTGGCACCTCTGCTGGGGCCAGGAATACCGTTGTACTTTTCAGTAAAGGAGTCAAGAGCTTCGGAAAGTGCGAAATGCGATGTTCATGATTTGCCGCACTTCGGGCATCCAATTACCCCGAGTCCTGGCATGCTTAGCACTGTCTTTTGGAGCATTAATAGTGTCATTCATGTTGATGTTTAGCCCAAAGGCAGTGCCATCAATTCAAATTCTTACATCGACATTCTGAAGCATTTTCCGCGAGTTCGATCCCAGAAGAATCGTGCACAAAGCTTGCTTTTGCGCGATAACGCACGCCTACACACAAGTGTCCCTACAAAAGAAGCAGTGACACAAATGGGTTGGACTGTGCTTCTCCATCCACCATACAGTCCGGATTGAGCCCCCTCCGATTTCCATCTTGAGTCACTGTAAAACGCTACTTGCGGAGAAAATTTGAAGACGACGAAAATTTGTGATCCGCGAAGTGAAGAAATGGTTACGTCGCCGGCAAGGCATACACACCCTTGTTTCATGTTGACGCAAGGCTGTAGGGAAGTTTGTACCGGCAAGACGCCAGACAAGTGGATGCAGTGCGTGAAATCTCTTGGTGTTTAGCTTCTTCACGGCAATGCACATTCTGAGCTTACCAATCAGATCGCAAATAATGTTGTAAAGGGCCATGGCTTTAAGTAGTGGAATCATTGACACTGGAGCATATTGGTCGTCCAGCGGCGTCCACCACCAATCATAACTGAAGACAAACCTTCGGGGAAGAAAAGTTTCAGACGAGTATGAGGTAAAAAAGCAATTTTGACCATTTTGCGAAAAAAAATCGGAGTATTTTTTCAAAGGCCTAGAAATGTTAGATGTGAAAGTGAATTGTAGTAGAGTTGAAAATGTACGTGTTTTTTTTTTCTTTCTACCAAATAATAGAAGTCAGTCACGCCAGAAACTTATGTAACGTACCACGTACATTTTCACTTTCTCGCGGTATTTTGGCATCTTGCAAATGAACCGTAGTGAAGGGAAAGTGTTGTACGAGTAATGCTGCGAGGGTACAACGCAGAACGTTTTTTGACAGAGAAACTTATTGCCGGTCCTGGTACCAAAAAATTTGAAGCCGCTTTTGAGAAAATTGTGAAAATGACCGGGGGCTTCTGAAAAGTACCCCAAAAATTAATGAATGTTTTTCAAAATCGCAGAGCTTCGACTCAGGCCAAATGGACAGAGGTTTCTTCAATTGGGAAAAAAATCCTACGCATGGTTTAGACACTAGTGTAGTTCACATACACTAGACGGACTGAAGTTTTTTAGGGAAAAATCGATATCAAGGGACAAAAGTATTTCCGTTGAAATCTCGAAATCGATTTTCCGCAGTAACATATAACTTTGGGAGATCTGGGCTGTCCGGGTGACGCCGCGTCGAAGGCTGTGTTGCCGACGTTTCGACCATCCTGTCATGGTCTTCCTCATGGTGGTATGCCATACCAGGAAGACCACTTCGGGATGGTCGAAACGTCGGCAACACAGTCTTTGACGCGGCGTCACCCGGTCAGCCCAGATCACCCACATGACTGGCCGCGGAAGCCTACGTCTTCAACATATAACTTTCCGTATACTGCGTATATTACTCCGTATATATACGTATGTATACAGAAAAGTAAAAATAATTTCTTTAAAAGAGTTCACTGCAAAATTACATTCTTTTCTTTTTTCAAAATTGCAAATTCTAATTTCCCGCACATCTTTTGGTAGAATCGGACAGACGGACACATTTAGCCTTAAATCGATTTTTCGGTATCACAGACCAAGAAAATATGGATTATGGCTATACCATTGTTAGAGGGATTTTTTCTACATTAGCATCTCGATTTATCCACTTTTTCGTTGCCAGGATCTGTAATAAGTTTTTTTCTGCTGAAAAGTCGCCGTTTTTTCCTGCAGCATTTCTCTTCTTAAGAAGTTCCTGCTTAAGCGCGAGAAAGTAAAATTCGGAATATAGCGGGCCGTACGGGACAAAAGAATATACGAAGAACAGAAGATACAAAGATTCACTGTAGTGATATTGTAGTATATTGGTTGAAGCTATAAAATATTGAAAGAGTAACATAGAGTGGTATATTTGTTTCGTATTTTAATTCGTACGTATCGGCTTCTTCAAGTGTATTAGTTGCCATCGTTCTAGAAATGTGAAGTGGGTTGTTTGTGCTGTGCGCCTAGCTGCCGAATGAAGGTCGGTGTTATGTATCCTCACTTGCAAGGCGTATTAGGCGTCCATCATTCGGAGTCAACGAGACTATGCTGCATATGTTAAATCAATTTGTTATTACTGATGTATTTATTATTATTCTTGTCATGTTATTTTTTCTCAAGAAATAATAAAAATAGTCTTGAAATTTGGTACTAGATTAAAACAACACTTTTTACACGATACAATAACATTTGTATTATTAATAATAATTTTATAAAAAAATGTCAAAAATTTGATACACAAGTTTAATTTTATCTTAGTGCAACTTTGAGATATGTACAGCGAAATTGAATTCTCGTAATGGAAATGACACAGAAACAGGAAAGTTGCCGCAGCTTATGACCTGGCGGTCGCCGCCTCCTGTGATGTCTCGACGTACTAGGCGCGGCTGTCTAAGACATGCCAAATTGCCAAAACAAGAACAAGTGCTCTCAGAGATGGGTTGTGAGTTAACCGATGAAGTCCAAGTGTCCTCAATTGAAGACACATGTTTAAATTGTAAAAGTATTATTAATGAAAAATTTTAGCAACGTGGGTAAGTCTTGATTACTTATTTTAATTAGTAAACAACATTTATCAAGATTGGACATATTTGTTGCACCGTTTTTTGTCATTTTTTGTTGAAAAATTATACTTTTTTAACTTTTTGATCGCTTATTCTTATAATTCTCTGAAAGAGTGCTTGTGCGAGTCAGATACTTGTACAGCGAATGAAATACTTTTAAAAAACGAAGATAAAGACATACGTCAAATGAATGTTTCATTATTGTAATTTATTATTGAATGTAGGTGTCTTCAAATGAGAACACTGGGACTTGAACCATCATTGTCAACAGCGTCTGGTAAACATTGGGTTGAAAAGTCTTGTTTTTTATGTTACCACTGAGTATATATCGTTCTGTTGTGAGCTTGTTCAACAATACGGTAAAAAATGGCGTACAGTTGAGGAAAGGGGCAAGCGCTAAATATTGAAGAAATTTGTCAATTGTTGAATGAACGGTATGAGAAGGAATTAGAAGACGCACTTTTAGCTAATTTACCACCTCCTCGAGTGGATTACCTAACCGATGAAGACGAACTTAAAGATGATTAGTTCGGTGCTGCCATTGTAGAAGATGTATAACTTTGCCTCTCTACGGTGAACGAACAGAATTTGGAAATTCCAAATACATCTTATCACATTGTAGTTCCCTCACAGTTTCCACGCCAGTTCCTGGACACAGTTTATCTGACTCGAGACATCGTACTATTTCTTTAGGTACTCTTTAGAAGGATAAATAAAGGAATTTTGCAGTTTGCGAATATACACGAAAAATGTAGTTCGAAACAGGAAAAAGGAGGTTTTGGATTCAACAAACTGGGACCTAAAAGTCAAATAACTGTGTCAATCCTTGAAAATATTTAGGATACATTAGAGGAACTGCGCACATACATTCGTAAATTGTGAGTAACGATCTCATCGAATGGTTAGTTCGGGAGTGTATGACACTTGCAGCAAAAACAAAGCCAATTTTTAGTTTTCAGTAGAACTTAATTTTGGGGAGAGGGGGTTTTGCTTTTATCGGGCACCACGGTTTACAACCCTAAAAGAAACTGTAGTAAAATGTGGGAAGAATTAAAAAATGAGACTGGCTTTGTTCAAAATACAGCATTTCAATCAGAGAGAACAAATTGTGATTCGATGTTTTCACATTGCTATAACCAATTCCTGGCTATACACAAATATTCCAAAGATAAAGATCTACTGAACCTTCAGGGTTTTCATTGACGACTCACGTATGGGATAAAATTGTGGAATATGCCCCAAAATGATAGAAACTATCATTTCATTAGCAGAAATGGGAAGCTAAGATGATGAAATATATGAAATACCATGCACGGAACTTTTGTTCAAAATGTAATCACATTATGGGGCATATTTTAAAATAGTACTAAGTATTTTCGAAATTCGCAAAAATAAATATTTCATAAGTACAATATCGAAGACAGAGTTTTGTCGTAAATGAAATCTGTTCTAAAATATATCATGAATTAATTCATGTACATTTTTTTGAAGAAAAAAAACAAATAGCTTTTCCTTAATTTCTGATTGATATTAATTCATTTTGTTTTTAATTTTCTTAAAATCGGCTCCAAATATTCTCCACAGAGTATGTTGGTATATGGGTCGCCAAATTAATTAAAATTTGGCGCCACGCTCCGAACATCTTAGTGATCGGAAGGCATTTAAGAAGAAAATATCATCATTTTAAAGTTCCAGCCTCGGAAATAGTCTAATTTTGCTAAAAAAAACGCGTGAATTCTTTCCCAATCCACCAAATACTTATTTTTGAACAAACTCTTTGAAATCGATTTTCAATTGCTTCGGAAAATCACTAATTTGCTGCACCACCTGGGTGGACACGACGAAAGAGTGTCCCATTGCCAGATTTCCTGGAATTCAATTTTTTTCCCACATCAGATCTCGCATTGTTTGAAAATCAGAGGCGTGTACCATTTTCGTAGCGATCGTGCTGAGGAGCTAAGCAATACGCATTGAAAGTTTGTGGTACGTTGGCAGCAAGCAATTATCGTGTAGTTTCTTTGAACCAGAGCTCTGAGACGCGGAGCAAAAAATCAGAAAGCATGATGACGTGAAATTCGTAAGGAGAACGTTTATTTTCGTCCAGTGGTAACCATGACAATCTCTTCAATACTCATTGCTTCTTACGGCAAAGAAATAATTTTTTACAATTATGTGTCGCTTTTTTCTCAGAACTCTCTCGCCTCTCTCGCACAGTCAGCGATGTACAAAACTTCTCGTTGCAGTTTCTGGTAATGCTCTCCCAATTCATCTAAGTAATATTTCGCAGCCTCAACAGATGAAGTAAAAAGCATGTTTTAAAAAATCGCGCATATCTCATTTTCATTGAACGCTGAATGTTGGAAAACTGCAAACGTTAGAAACAGTAATAAAAGAAAGAATGGGCTGTAGCATCACTAGTTTTGTGAAGGTCGGACTCAATTCACTTGCGTTTGCGAAAATTGTAACACCCAGGAGTGGTCGGAATCACTTAAAAAGCGTTGGGTGCGTAGAAAGAACAGTGTATCCATAAGAAGTGATTAAATTTGCATAGAGATGGCGTGAACGTTGGCTTAGCAGCGCCTTGCTTTGTGTGACAGATCAGGTAAGTGTTACGGCACACTCAGTCGATGTAAGAGTCGTCAAACGAGGTGGAATCATGCAAGCAAGTGCCGGTGTGCCTCATCGACGCCAAAGTTCGCAATATCACCATCTGAATGAGAATGATCGATCTCTGGGAAGCTGGTTGGTCGAACCGTGACAATGCGCCACGAACAGGGCGCGTTGCTACGACAGTGATGTATCTGGAGCCAGTGGATAGAGAAGTGTCGTACACAGCGATGGGCGGATACCGGACCACACAATGACCACAATGTAAGATAACCGCCGTCTTGTCCGCATGGCAGTAACCGACAGAAGAGCATCGGTCACAGTGCTGGGTCGACTCTAAAGGCGCTGCAACGGGTGTGGTCAGTCTGCGTCAACGGTTCGACGCCGTGTGCTGAGAGCAATCTCAACAGCAATCGATACATCAGATAGGTTTTAGAACACGGTGTACTGCCCTCTTGCAAGCAAACCCACATGCCTTATTTCAGCAGGACAATGCCCAACCGCATGTGGGGGAGGAATGTGCACGCTTTCTGCGAAAAACGACCGGTACCAATGCTTCGCTGGCCACGTTTTCCTGATATGTCGCCCTCCTTCATGTTTGAGATATGATCAGTCGATACCTTATTCCTCCTGCAGCCACTGTCGATGCTTTGTGGTCACTCGTATACACAGCGTGGAAGTATGTTCCCCAGCAGCATATCCAGGCTTTCTTTGAATCCTGTCCCGATGTCTAGAGGCTCTGATGGCACCGCGTGGCGGCTTCACACCATACTAAATACTCACGATCACAATGCATGTACGGTTCTGTAATTCTAATCATTTGTTTGAAGTGATATTCCCAATTTGTGTAATAAATTTCATTGTAATACTGGTGTTGCAGTTATCAACAGCAGTATATATAAATAATTCAACATCTTTATAGCATTTTGAAGTGTTTAATTTTTGTGCATATTATGACATATTTTAAATATTTTAGTAGTGTAGCGGTACAGAATTATTAATATAAATTAAATTGAGTAAAGCAGACCTAAGAAATTTTTACTGAAGAAAAAACATACGGCGTCACGCGCGCAGCCCCCCCCCCCTTCTTGCAGCCACGATCCCCTGACCCATTTCGAATGTTAATGACACCCTACCCAACAGCCGAAGAAAGGTTAACTTGTAAAGCGGCAGCCACATCTGGAATACTTCCGAAACGCCTGTCATCATGATCGGGGAAACCCGAAGCAATAATTCAGTAGCCGGGAAGCCCCTTCAGAGACGTGGCCTACTTTCGAGACGACAGAGGACACTATGTTCCGACGGAGACAGAAACAGACTGGAAAATTCCTATACTCCGCCGAAGCCTATTGGACAAATTTAGTGTACAACGCCATTACCTTTACCCAATAGCGACGCGACCGTTGTAGGGAGCAAGAACATATGAGGAGAAAGGGTGGGGATAAAAGTTAACTTCGTGCATTTATGAGAAACAAAATTGCAGTTGAGAGAGAGAGACTTCTCTGGGGTGGGAGCCAGTCGCGGGGAGAGGCGAGTACACCTCTGAAGGCACTTGGTTAAAATTTCAGTTTAGTTGAAATCACTGGGGTGATAGACCGGAATTCTCAGTGAGAATTTTAGAGGAAGTGCAAAAGCACTTCAAAAGTAAATTGTCGAATCCTTTGTCACTGCGTATTCGCTGCAGGATTTCGCAATTACTGAAATTTTTATTCGAGAGGAATCGCATACGCAGAGGGAGACATTGTTGTGCTCCGCGCCTGCGATCGGGGGCGATATCGCCAGTTATCTCTTCAAGTTTCGCTGAAGCAGTCTTCAGGCGATCCATCTGCTGACGTCACGGACGGCCGCCAGATGCCACTGACCGCCGCAGCCGCTGTTGGTCAGGGCGTGCGCCCCGAACGATTTCCTGCGAAGGTCGCCTACCGCGCCACCCGGACCTACAGAACATCTGCCACGGAGGGTTTTCAGGCAATGTAACTGGGGGCAATAAACCTTTTGAAGTATTGTCAAAGCGGTGCCGCGCCAAGGCACAAGAAATGTCCTCAGGGACAACGCTGTAAATCCTAGCTATAAAATAATTTTGTACTCTTCTCTAGTTGTAAGCCTTCCTTCAATTTTAATCTCTGTTTCTTTTCTTTTTATTCAATCTTTTCTTTCTTTTATTTTTATTAATGTAACTTCCCTGGTACAGTTTGTCCAGGAATAAACTTTGTCTTGTTACCAGTGATCAAATTGTTTATTTTGAATATCCATTAATGTCGTTAATAATTCCTTCCATCACCTAATTTTAAATGAGCAAAGGAAATTGTTACAATTGGCTAGTTTTTACACGAGTAAAGGGAATAGGGAAAGGGAACCGGGCCGCTAACCGCGCGTTTCCCTTCGCCGGGAGATGAGTGGAGGTGTTACAGTAGACATAAAATCACGTTCTGTTGATGACTAACGGCCACTGAGAATTGCCTGATCCTCCTGCCATTGGATATGTGATTGATCATTTTTTTTCCAAACATTGAAAATCCATTCTAGTATTATTTGTAATTGTTAATCTATGTTAATTGAAAGGAATTTTTGTAACAAACTTTAAAACCCTTTTCTTCCATAAATTTCTAGTTAATATGATACAAGTTTAATTTGGTGTTCTTTACAATTTATTTATTTATTTATTTATATTTGAATTTTATTCAAATGAAACATTTGTATAGAAAAAATAATCATGATGTTTCAGGGATTTTTATATATTTAGTTATGGTTGTCCAAAATTTTAAAAAAGGGATAGAAAATAATTAATTTTTAATTCTTTCAAGTGTTTTTCTCCAAATTTTCCTTGGTTCCATTACAAGGGATATTTGAAAGCCAAACTCAACATTGAATCTTAAGTGAGTCACAAGAAGAAAAGCTAGATTTCTGTTATTAATAACTCTACAAGAAATAGAAGCACTAAATGTCTCACCTTAGATACTTCCTCAGAATGACCTTGCATAACTGCAACAACATTACAATTTGAATGAACATCCCATACCATTGCTGTTGCATCTCCGCTTGCTGTAGCTAACCGTTGACCTTTGTAATCAAATGCTATATCCAGAATCTGAAGAACAGTACAGTTGCAATAAATCTTACTAAATTTAATTTTATTCCTTTCAAATTTAAAGGCTCAATAGAACAAGGGACTGTTACACATTGACCCAATACTGAGATATTGATACACCTTTCAAGGTACAACTCAGAACATTTTAAAACGTTTAAACACAAGACACTGGTAATCAAGTCCATACTGGATTTAAATAACACATTACACTAAAAGAATTATATTTGAAGTTATATTTAATGATAATAACTTAATTTCATAAAAATGTGGGATAGTCCTATGATCTATTGAGCATTTTAATTCAGGAAGAAAAAACTAATAATACCATCAACTCCTCTAAAATTTCTTCATGCTATTTAAATTTATTTTTCATCAAGAAACAGTTAAGAAACAATTTTATCTTGCATATATGTAACCATACAACAAATAATCTTTGCACACTATATGCACACAAGGTCTCCAAATATGATGTTAATTCAAAAATGATCACGAGTGGAGAATGTTTGTGCTCTAAGCTAACGATATTTATTTCAGAGAAGGAAATTCAGCATAAACAAAAGGTATGAACCACGTAGTCCAATATAACTACAGTGTAGTCAGATTTTCTGTTTGCAAAGAAAATTAATAGAGTTACCACTTTTATTTCAGAACTTTCAAGAAATAATCAGAAAACACAATTTTACTAGATTTTGTTAAGTTTTTTGTATTTAAACACATTAAAATGCAATTATTTGAAGAGTATACCACATCAGACAAATGTTCTATATTTTCTTGTAGATTCTAAAACAGGAGATTAATCGGCTGGTCAATAAACATAACCGGAGCTGCAACTAGAGATTTGGGGGCCCAGATGCAGTAAATGATAATGAGGATTCTCTTTTATTGTTTCTCCTAATTAACCACTTTTCTACCTATGATTCATCACTTCCTTGATAATCGAAGTGGCTTTATACACTTAAATTGGATGGAAAAAAAAATTAAATGTATGTCCTATTGATATTTGCTGTTATGTTATTTTTTTTATTCTTGTCTAATCATGCTCAGTGAAAATATAATTCTTGTTAGTATAGTTTAATTTGTCAATTTTTAAAATAAAATAATCAATACAAAATTGTTATATTTCTTCTCCTTACTCAGGGGCCCCCTAAGCTTGGGATACTAGTGGTAGTCACAGTTTCGCAGGACTAACAGACCATTTACAGATGAAGACAAACTCTCAAATATGGTGAGCACTAAAGGAACAACATATTCTTTTTTGAGTAAAAAATGATATTAAATATTTTCAAGGATACCTGAACATAAAGCAATGTAATCAATTTATACTTCAAGGTGTTAGGTATGTGATATTTTTAACAAACATATAGTAAGCTCATTTCCTGCACACTAGTACAATGTGCTTTTCCCAACAATTTTGATTTACTGTACAAAGATATTAAAGTCATATACTTAAATTCTCACAAATAGTATAAAAGTAATTACTTACAAGGGAGATCTTACTACAAAACAACACTAGTAAAATTACAAGCAAGTGAATTCCATACTTTCATTACTTTTCCTTCAACAGTGTGTATTACACAAGTCACACAACTATCATAATGCGAATGTGACTGCTTCTGTGAAGTTTCAGTCATCAAACAACCTATAAAATTGAGTGTTGATTGAAGTTGACAATACTGAATATTTATGCCTACCTCATCTTGATGGCCTGTAATTGTAGTTAGACAAGACATAGTGCGTGGATCCCATATTTTTGCTGTTTTATCCATAGAACTACTTGCAATAAGACTGCAGTCAAAGTTATACAGACAATTACTTATCTCTTCTGAATGTCCAACAAGTAACCCTTCCCTCCTGGAATTTGATAAATAATAATTCATTTTCAGATATACATGGTTGTATTTTATGAATGAAATTTAAAGATTCAAAAAACTTAACTGACTTAGCTGTTCTTGTATCCCAAATGCCAATAGTCCCATCGAAAGATCCAGTGAGAATTTGCTGACCACTATTACTGAAGTGTAAAGAAACCACTTCTCTAGTGTGTCCCTCCAAAACAGCAACATCTTGCCCTGTCATTATAAAAGGTTAACATTTATACATATTTTCTGTGTATTTAACATTTACAACGAATGTACCTGCCTGTAACCATATAATAAAGACGAGCTGTATTGTCCATTGAAGCAGTAGCAACTAGATGGCTTTGAGGATTAAACTGTACTGATACAACTTCTGCTGAATGTCCCCACAATGTATGATAGCATTCTCCAGTTTCAGATGACCAGAGACGTGCAGTTTTATCAAAGGAACCGGTTAAAATTTTATCACTGATAAAATAAAATTCATAGATCATTTGGTTTACCTGACTCCGGTCTACTCTACCCATAAGAAAAATCTATATCTTACCAAAATGGTTGATTGAATGATACTGCATAAACAACATTCCTATGACCTTCTAAAGTATGCACTTCTTGACCAGAGTCAATATCCCACAGTTTGCATGTTCTGTCATAACTTCCAGTTATACATCTAAAATAACTCAAACTTATCACAAACTACTTATTTTTAATTTTACTTACAATTATAAATTAAAAGGCCAATATCAAATACCTTTGCCCCTGTTTGTCAATCGCCACATTTGTCAAAGGAAGCAGATGAGCTTTGAGGGTTTTGTATTTATAAAATAAATGTTTATTAGAATCATATAATTTTGCTTGTAGCTTCGAAAGACTTTCAACAAGTTGATTGACAACATTTTTAGTTACAAGAGGTTCCTTGTTTGCTATAGCTTCAGCAAGTTCTGCAATATCAGTCCTTCATGTGGAGACAAAACAATAACTAAAGATTCCCACTAGGCTTGTCACAAAACGTTTTGGGATGTGTGTACAATGAAGGCTTAAAATTATTTAGGACTCACCTAGGAGTCAAACTCAAGAGGTCTATATGTTTTGTTTTGACTTGCCCTCTTTGAGAATACTCCAAAGCAATACCTGAAAATTTCCTTGTATCAAAACCAATAACAATGATAGTTATTGAAACGGGTTTAAAGCACCATACCTGGAGGAAAATATCTAAGCAAAAATTTTTGCAAACGCATTGTTACTTTCAAAGTTTGGGCAGCCTTAGTATGAAGTTTGACACTTTGAAACCGAATTACAGGTTCGTGGCAAATTATTAAATAGTACTGTTATATTTTTCATCGGTAGCGATTAACGGAATCGTTTTTCGCAATACACAATAGATTACAGTCAATGCATGCTGCCAATAGAATAAACTATAAAATCAGTGGTCCCGAAGAGATACTTCCAGCTTGTTTACGATCAGAGCAGTTGCGTAGCAACCGCTTCTCATTTGTATGATCATCACCAGCCATCGTTATTGGAAACGTGTTTTCAAGGAAGAGTAACTGATTAAAGATAGTTCATGACCATTCGCTTCCCTATTGGTCGTCATTCTTTCAATCACTTATTCATCCAAAGACTTTTTCTGTATTATTTTTCTCCGCGAAGCGAATAAAAGAGAAAAACTTCGAAAAAAAATGCATGAAAATGCTACGCTAGACCAATTTTTTCAAAACTGTAAATTCTCTCTAAATGGCCTCCCTTCTGTGCAAGTAAAAATAAAATTGATCATTTAAAGCTTTTATTTACGAAAGCCACGAAGAACTACAATGAAAAAACAGGCCCTAAATGCTGCAGAGATCACAACGTACTATCGTAATTGCGCGGTACAGCAAACAAGAAATAGAAAAGTCCTATACACATCCCATCGCCACCAAATTCCAGATTTCTTACAATCTCTTAAATTTGATCGTTTCGGTTGTTACGTGTCGTTCTAGGGATTTTTTTTTTCCCCCGTTTTAGATAAGCAATACATTGAAGACAAGAAAAAATTTTCAAACACAAACTTTATTACATTTCCAAGAATACAATAAATAAAACTGAATTAAATCCAATTACTTCAACATTAGTCTTGGTTTCAGACAGAAAAAAAAAACCACTTGAATACTGAATGGATGAAAAATTATGAATCGTACAAAGATAACAAGTAACATAAGACTAGAGCAAACTTTTAAATCAATACAACAGTAATATAATTTCCCCCAGACCAATTTCATAAACAAACTAATCTAGGCGAATTCTTTTACATTTCATGAAAGGTAATTCTGTTGTTTCTTCTTTTCCCTGTCTTTGCTCCTCAATTTGAGCTCCATTCTCATTATCTTCATCTTCATCATCATCATCAAACCCGTAATCAACTAATCTCTTGCGACAAAGGTTTCTAGCAACTGTAACTCCTGATCTCCTTAGTCGACCAAATTTCCCAAAAATTGGAGTACGATCTAAAACAATGTTGCGTGATTTGGGGGAATCAACGCTCAATATTTTTATGGTATCTGAATCGGTATTTTCAATTTCCATATCAATACCAAAATTTTCAACACTATCACATATCTTTTCAGAGTTAAGTTTGTTTTTACTTTCATCTTCTGAAGTATTGCAACACAAACTATCTTTGCTTTTAAAACAATCTTCAAGATATATGGGAATATTCTTCTCTCTATTTCTTAAACAATTTCGTTCGTATGTATGTCTCAAACTTTTAAATGTCTGTACATATTGCACATTATCTAATACTTCACCAAAATGTTCCATAACATATGAACACAAAGATTTTAATTCCTCAGTTCTTATGAATTCAAACATATCTAAAATAGCAGAATCTAGCATATTGTAACGTCCCTGATTTTCGAAGAACGCTTCAATAACTGGTCGCAGAAGATCTCCATGTATTATATATTTGTTGTAAAATTCATTTTTTAAAGCAATAATTTTTTTAATAAATCTAAGAGCACTAAGTGCTAAAACTTTATATTGAGATTTCATAAGCTTTAGTACATGTCTTACAAGGTCCTTGTGAAGAATAACATTTCTAATATAATATGAATGGTGTTCCACACAAAATTCTAAAAGTTCCAAAACGACTGCTAGACACTTCTTGTCCAATCCATCTTTAGAAATGTTTAATATTGGTTCAATAATGATGTCAATAGCATTCTTGTAAAAATAATTAAGAAAGTCTGTTTTATCTGTTTTGGTGAGAGAAGACTCCATATTTTCTGGATTTAGGAGCAATTTGAAAAATAAAAGATATATTGAACTATTATGCTCACTATCTGTCTCACTTGTCAGTCCATTAATAAGAATCACAATTAGAGGATTACTGACTGATATCATATTAGCTTGTTCAAGCATATATTTGCGCACGGAAAAGGGAGAATGTTCAACAATAAAATTGATCACTTCTGTTGCACACAATTTTATATCTTCACTATTTATTTGCATAGAAAGTTCTAAGGAATGTATAATATTCAATTCTATAAGGTTTTGGTAAAATATTTCTCGAGGTGCTGGCTGCAAATTTTGAGCAAAAGAAAACAATTCTTTAAGAAATAATAGCACATCTTTCCGTTTCACAGCAGATGTGCATTTGCCAGAAAGTAGCTTGAAAACATTTGAAAGAAAAATTTTGTCTTCTTGTATCAAATTCACAATTGTAATTTTGTTGAGATATATAAATGGTGACAGAAATACACTTTCATCTACAGCATTTATCGACGGTAAAATAACATCTTGGAAATACTGAATTCTATACGTTTGGTGAATTCTATCCAAGAGGGATGGATTCAGAACTGGCATCACTTCTTTGAACTGTACTTTTTGACTAAGAAATTCTCTGTGACGCTTAACTGTACGGCCACATTTGTCATACTCAAAACACCCCACGACATCAAGTATTCTCTCTTTTTTGAACATCTCTTCAAACAATGAACAATTACCCAAAGTGACAATATGCTTAAAAATTTCACATATATACTCAAGACATTCAAAATTAGAATCATTCTCACATTCACAAAATATATCCAGCAACTTGGGGACATAATTTGCCTTTATTATAGCTTCAGATAATTTTTCTTTTTGAGAAGGAGTTTTAAATAAACGAATCATCGCATTTATACTTTTAAGGTTATTTGTATCTACAGAGGGTAAATCTGAAAGGAGAGATGATGAATCATCATCTTGGACATCTGATTCTTCAATAACTGACAATATGTTTCCCATTTCTACAGATTCACCTTCATCTGCTACACTCCTAATTACTTTCCAAACAGCTTCACAGGCTTCTTTCTCTTGAAAACTCAATGCAAATTCATTTTCATTCTTGTCACACCATAAAATTAAAGTCTCCTGTTGCTTTTCAAAAGATATGTCCGGTAATATATCTGTATCTAGAAGTATACTATCATCTAGTTCTGAATGTACCTTCAAAGAATACAGATTAGCACAGGATGTACAGATTATGCGGCCCGTTCCCTTGTCGATCCACTGTTGATCATTATCTAGTAAATAAAGTTTAACACGCTTTGGAACGTTTGCCATATCAGCAAAAAATAAAATATTCTTCACAACACACAATACTGCACGCGAAAGTTCCAAGAGATGACCACATGTGTCTCTATAAATGTCCGGAAAGTCAACATCACATCACGGCAAGTGGAAGTTGTAAAGGCGACAAGTGAGGAAGTCACATTTCACATTACCACAGTCGACGTGTTGGAAATTGCAAAGTGATCACGAAAATATTTCAACAATATTCTTCACGATAATTTTCCCTGTCACACACGCTTTCATGTCTGAAACATCGTCGATGTTACCAAACTGTATTGAAGATTTGTTTACTTCCTGTAACAAACGAAATCGTAATTGATGTCCATTCTGATTGGTTTAAAAACTGCAGGTCATGCAACCGTTTCATTCGCTATTTTCAGTCTAGATGTTCTAAAATAGGCGAGGCCAATATTTAATAGTTTGAAGTTATATTTAATCAGCGCTACAAAGGTTTTGCTTCGGTTGAATGGATTGAGAATTTCAGTTGAATTGCTTTCCTTATTTTTCATTACTAATTGTAAGAAAAATCCTTCGATCGTTCGGGAACAGATTTGCCAAGTCTCTGACTTGCCCGAATTTCAGTAAAATCTAATTGCCAATTTCTTCAAATCTTATTGGTCTCATTCCACGCTAGTTTCATTCGGGTTTCTTTGCTTTCTTGATGGTTTGCTCTGCATTTCCAATGCTTATGGATATTGCACTTTTTCCTCTCCAAACCATCATTTTAATCTCAAGTGTACCTTCAGGTATAGGTGGGGTTTCATTCTTCATACGTATGTTCAGTATGAATATTGTTTTAGTTTGATTACAATTGTATTTATAATAGTGTCATTGTCCCGCAATGACTTTCAGAAAACAAAAAGTTCGAGAGGATGAGATGAACGAAAGTCGTTGAATCACTACGTGACAGCATGGGCCCTGCAGTGGTCGTGGAGTTACATCTTAAATAACTGCATTTCATTATGTAAACAAGTACTCAATTAAGAGTTAAGTATCTATTTAGAAGATTCAAGGAAGGATTATTACGAATCTTCTAAATGTCATAGTCAAGTTGCATGGCAATACGATTAAGAGCTTGATTTTATTATTATTATTATTATTATTATTATTATTATTATTATTATTTTCCTATCTAATCCCTGCAAATAATTCTGATAGATCCGGTATTTTATTTTGCGAGTACGAAATATTATGAGTGTAAGCATAACATGAAAATTAATCTTCTATGTCTACTATAAGTGGCATACACTGCCGTATTTTTACACAGCTTTATTGACATTCGTATTACTATAATTAGGCATACAGATCATTATGTTTCATTAAGGTATAACAGATTCGATCAGACGAAAGTATTTTGTTTCCTTTGTTGTACCTGTATTCACAGTTTTATCAAAACATTTTATCATCGTCTTACTTCTAACACAAATGTTAAATATTCATTTTTTATTTATTATTTTCTCGTATACGTTCGTGAGACTTTGGACAGTATTGTTGAGTAATGAGTAATTTCTCAGCTACCTGAATCATAGGAAATAGTTCGGGCAATTTGTTATTTTTGTTGGATTCCTGCACGAACACTCTGCTAACCAAGTGCCAAAAGTTTTGTTATCATTGTACCTTTTATGTTTATAGAAGTACTTCAACATTACATTAATTGAAATTCTAGTGTTCTTTCAGTAATATAATCTACTATTACCACTTGTAATATGTTATTAATTGAGTTTTATGAATAAAACATTCACGGAATATACATAGTATGGACAATGTTACATAATTGTGCGGTAAGTCCATTTCGAGATTTCAACAGAAATACACCGTTTGGAGCCCACTGATACCGAAAAAGTGTTTTTATTAAAACGTCCATCCGTGTTTCTGTTTTCCGTCAATCTGTTTGTGAACATCATTAGCGTCTAAACCATACGCAAGGGTTTTTTTTTTTTTTTTTTTTTTTTTTTTTTTTTTTTTAATGGATATTCCCCGATCGATCTGGTTCGCCTCGAAGCTTGGCAATTTTGTACAATATTCTTTAAAATTTGGGGGTATTTTACACGAAGCCAGAGATATCTTCAATTTTTTTCAACAATGGCTCTAAAGTTTGTCTTTAAATTTTTTGAAAGAAAGGAGTTGTAGGTTTTTCACAGTTAACACAGAATTTTCGAAAATTTCAAAGGGTTGAAATTTTTTCGGCTTATTTTCCTACTATTACAAAATTGATGAAAGATATTTTTCCTTCTACTAATTTCTTTGCATAGTTTGTTCCTCTTATTAAGGCCATGCACTTTTTTTCTTTCTCGCCTAAGGAATACGAGTAAGAAAATAAAGTTTTGTAATCGTGCGCCAGAACACGGCGAACTTTCAGCAGAAAAACTGATTGCCGGGCTCTGGCAACGAAAAAGTGAATAAATCCTGATGCTAAATTTAGAAAAAATTCTCTAACACTTGGTGTAGCTAGAATCCACGTTTTGTAGGTTCTTGACCAAAAAATCGATTGACGGTAAAACGTCAGTCTATCTGTCCATCTGTGGTCAATGCTAGCGCCTAAACCGTTCAGCCGATTTTCTCCAAAATTGATATTCTTCAATCGATCTGAATGAACTCGTGGTTTTAGGGATTTCAAACGGATATTTTGAGGGTACTTCACATGAAGCTTCAAAAACATGTTCAATATTTTCTCAAAAACCATACCAATGTTTTTTATTCACCTTTGTCTTTGAATAGCATAAAGAATGCTTAAGAGAATGGTGGTAGTCTCATGTTCGTTGAATTCACAGATTTTTTGAAAATTAAAAAGTGCAATTTTGGTGTGGCGTTATTCTACAACATTGACGATAGATATGTTTTTCTCTTAATGAAATGTGTTCCTTAAAGACAGATCCTTAAATAAGTTCATGTTCTAGTTTTCGAAAACCTCAAAAGTTTGTCTTTAAATTGGCTCCTCATATGTAATAGAAGACTGTAAAAAAGCATGGTGCTAGTTCCATTTACGTTTTTCCGGAATTGCCAAAACGTTAACATTTAAAAACTACAAAATTGGAGATATCGATTTTTGCTTTCAACAAAATCTGTTGTAAAAAATCACGTAGGGGTTTTTTTGTTGTTGTTGTTGTTGTTGTTGTTGTTGTTGTTGTTGAGAAAACGAACTGATTTCTCCTAACTAGTGTCTGAAAGTTAAGCAATTTCTAAAAATATTTTCCCAAACTTTTATTAAAGTTTCTCCTCGTATATCAGTGTAAAATAGGGTTTTAGCGTACACAAAATGTGTAAAGTGAAAATTGCCATAGACGTCCTATTTGATGCACCGAACATATTTTTAAAAGTACTTCTCTCTCTTATAGCCGCGTCCCCCATTTTATGAGGGCGGAATGCTCCCTCGCGACATTTGAGGTATTTGCTTGTATTTGAAGCAGGTAAAATATTTTTTCTTTTTTTTTTTAATGTTCGGAGAGATATTGATTATGAAATTGTACTAAACATTTTCAAATTTAAAATGGCGTATCGAAGATGGCGTTCGTATTTTGAAAATACTGAACTTTTTTGTACATGTCTGTGGCATCTGTAATTGAAATTCGTTAAATATAATAATGATTTTAATAGATGTGCAGTATGTATTTATTTAAATCATTGTATATACTTTTAAATTAACAATATTGTTTGCTACTTAAAATTAATGTTTTGGTCTTGATTTTTATTGTTATATACAGGAGTACCAACATAAATGTACGTTCAGAGTTACAATATATATTTTACTAAATTATATTTATTTCAATTAATTAATTGGGAGTTTAAATTAAACCGATTTATTTGCAAATAAAATAATAGTAACATTATATTGTTACATGTTTAGTAAATTTCCTGTGCATTACGCTATTTTACAGATAAACTATATTTTTATAAAATAAAAAATGTATTTATAAATGTAATTATTTTGTTTGAAAAATACATATGATTATCCCGGCATCATCCCTTAACTGAACACTGGAGTCGCGCCCTTTTTGCATACACACTCGTTTTATTGCACGTCCCTTTACAATTATAAGATATTATATGTAATAACTCGTCCGGAGTGGGTGGCAAGTCAGTGGGATGAGAGATAAGTGTTCCACTTGAATTAATCGTGTCTCCAAAGCGTGCACTAAGATTTTTTTAACGTTCGTTTCGGCCAACGTTTTGAAAATTGCTTTTGTATATGATTTATTACTCAATAGTTCACCGAGGCTAAATTGACATTAGTCATTATTTTCAAGAAACTGGCATAATTCCTTGAAATTTTCAATATCATTGAATAAGAATGAATAATTTTATTTTTCGTTGCATTTAGCTCATTATTAAGAAAAAAAATATTGCATTTATCAGATTCCACAGCAACCAAACCACGTACTCACTCACACACACAATTCATGTCACCAAAACTTCATTATCCCCAGAATCCTCTCTGGACATAAAATGATTCTGTATCCTAATTCAATATTTGGTCACTTCGTGTATGGCATTCGTAGTTTTTCTTTCGTTGTTTTCTTTTCTTCACTAGCAATTGCCCCACACAAAAAGAAATTAACTTTAAAATCAAATTTATGATGTGAACGCAAAGCAGTGGTATCACTTTTCTCTTCGACACTAGAAACTGAGAGAGTGCTTTTCAAAGATTTTTTGATTGTACTTTCACAATTTTTTTTCTCTTTTTCTGCCAGCACTGTGAGTAATGAATCCACTTTCAAAAGCAATGCGATTCATCAACACGCTGTTTGCTTGCCTTTAAAGCCTTGTTGCAGCTTCGCCAAAAGTTACAATATCAGTGTCTGTTAATGGCAAATTACAGATTACACAATTTTCACCGTCCATGATTATTAACCTTCCAGCGGGCGCGCGGTCGTAGATTTTACGACAATATGAGTGTTTTGGATTTGCTGTCAGCTCATTGTTGGCACAGACGTCTGCATTCTTGGTATTCCTTGTAGATATACTCTTTGGTAGATATATGGATTCCTGCAGGCAGTGTTTAGTTTGCACGAGATATTCAGTTTTTGTAACGCTCTTTTCGGGATAAGGATATAGTGTCGTAAACCTTTCATAAATCTGAAAGTATACAAATTTATTAAAAAACAACATTATTTGAATATAAAATAAATTCTACACATACAGAGTAAAAATTATAATATTTAACGAATTTCCAGTATAAATTCACTCAGAAATGTACAAAATGGTTCTGTACAATACATAAGCCATCTTGAATCTGCCATTTTGAATTTGAAAAAAATATGCACAATTTCGTAATCTCTCTTAGAATATTTCCAAGCAAAAAGGTTTAAAATATTCACTCCACCCCCTAATATGGGGCACACAGCCATGGGAGAGTAGGGGACTTCTAGTATGTTGTTGAGAGCATCAAATATGACGTCTGCGTGGCAATATTTAGCTTTGCTCATTTTTGTGCACAGTTCGATCAATTGTTTGCCTAAAGTGATTGGACGATATAAGAACGTATGGTAAATATATAAACTAGTGGTGCAATAGATTCATACAGACTTTCTCACCCTAGGTTAGTTTTCTAATCTCTCTAGTCTGAACTAGCGTTTTCGCTAACACCTGGGCCTAGGCCTTACTCTCTATTCGTATACCTAGGCCGTAGCACAGTATACGTATGTGAATATATACAACCATAATCCCGGACAGCCAAGAAGTGATGAACGCGAACCGCGGAAGCGTAAGTGCACAAGTACCGAACCTGGCTGCTGAGGGTGTGCTGTCTAAGCAGGAATACTCATACCATACGTCACATACCGTTTTTACTTTCCTTTAACTAAATAAATCATATTAATCTAAAAAACAACAAAACCATTATTGTAACTCTTGTGATCTAAAGTTCTATTACGGCAGTGATCTCAGTTTCGTTATGTTTGACTTATGCCAATCAAAATTGATTAATCTTTATGTAGTAATCGAACAGCCTGCGTTCGTTTGTGTTTTCAACGGTTGGATCACTTCTGGTCCACCAATCGAGACAAATGAGGTATCGACGCGTCTCGGTCTCCAGGAGAAAGGGGGGAACTGGTCCTTTTTTCCTTTTATTTTTCCGGATCCATTCACAAAATTCTAATGACTTCTATAAAACTTTTTTTTATTTTACTTTTTAAGCAACTCAAGTGTATGTTGGGTGACTTGCCGCACAATTGGATAGGCGCAATTCTCATCTGGTTGCCTCTTGAATATTCTGGAAGAGAAATCAACGATCACTGGATAAATATAGTAAATAACAGGCGATGATTGCAGTCATAAGTCAAAAATTGTATGACAACGACGTTTTGACAGCGCTGCGCTGCAAAAACCATCAAAACGTGAAAAAACACCAAATTCAAAAAAAAAAATTATTTCATTTTTGAAATAGGATTGGAAATGGAAGAAAAAATGAGAAAGTTTGAAAATTAAAGAAAAAGGAAAAATATCAAAAATTTGTTTTCGATGATACTTATATTTTCAGTAAACACCTGTATTTATAATATATAAAAATATGTATACCAACTATTTATATAATAATGAACATTTATAAACACACACTGTGTACGAGTTACGAAACTTTGTCTCACTCATTGTAATGACAGAAAAAGAGATAAAGATATCCCTTTGTAAAAACTTTTCTTCCAACGAAATCGTTGTTTCCATTACTTGTTTATTCATGTGATCCGTTCCTTTTCACCAAATATGTTGCCCTCTTCTACCAGTCTGGTTGTGGCAAATAGCAGTCCAATTTTAAACGAAGAAATTCATTCAAACGATCTTACACGCCTACGCCGTCGTCGGATATCGCCCTTCAGCGAAGGAAGATCACCACCATCTCCGGCGATAAAAGCATGTCCGACACTTATGGCCTTAGAAGTTGTCGCGCCCGGAATCGCTAATCCACCAGTCCCCGTCGAAGCGGGACGCGTGCGCACACGTGGGCGGGGCCGCCCCTTCCGGGCGCGTGCGGGCGCGCGTTGGAGGCGCAGTGCCTTCCTTGGTCCGCGTGCACTCACGCCCGTGCGCCCCGGCGCTCGCCTCATTCAGTCGCTTTATAGAAAGCTCAGCAGCAGTTGTAGTAAATGCACACCAAAAATACACTGGATTTTAGTTGGGTTTTGGGAATGGTCAAGGGAAGGAATGTTAATACAGTTTGTGATTCAATTCACATACTCTTCGAAAAAGTTACGTTACCTGCGGAATGACGTCTATAGATATACTACTCTTGGAAGTAAGCCGTAGGCCTATTTGCCTCGAATTTCGAGCCGTGTTGATACTTCCGGCTTAGAGTTAGTTAATTATGGCGAATGTTGATTTTTGTTGCCTTGTTGCGAAATGTTTGTTACTTAGTTTTTCTTATAATACAACATTACACAAGAATCTCTCCCATGTCCCTGTTATCGAAAGTCGGTGATACCGAGTTGTTTTTTACTCTTGACAAAATAAGACCTGCTAGTTTCTTAAATTAATTTTTGGGGAATTAACTGAAATACTTTTGCCTTTCTCTCAAAATTTGATAATACGATAAGTATAGAACGAAATTTAATTACAATATGAAATTGGTGAATTATCATACGAGCCCGTTAGGCCGCGGTTGATTATCCATCGAGTTTTGTAGGAAGATGTTATGGTACGAATACTGTACAAAAGTTTTCAGTACCACTTTCTGAAACTTTCAATACTATAACTTTAGTTGCGTTCTAATCTCTTATTGCGACACTGATATCAGTTTCGTACGGTTTGATCTCAGACAATGAAAGTACATAAAAAACATTATTTAATGAAACAAGTTTTAGACATGTTAATCTCGAACTCATGCTTATCTGGAACTAATTGCTTTTAGATAAATGCAAAGTAAAAATTAAATGTTCTATTTGGACGTACGTGTTAATTATTTACGTAATTCAACGCAAAACTTCTCTTATACGAAGTAAAATATACATTACAACGACTTGTAAACTATACATTTCACAAATGCTCACATATGAAAAAGAAGTTCGGGGTGTAAAATATTGAAGTTTTTACTGTCCGTTCCTTTTAATCTCTCCTCCGAGATAGAAAAAAATACATGATTCAATCCGTCAGGCATACGATTTCTGTTTCTGATACTGCACTGGTGTCGGTGACCCGGCAAAGAATTGTACACCGTAGGGTGCACGCTCACTTCCCTCCCTGTCGTCGAACCCCGATTGAGATTTCGTCGGAACGAGAGTCACCTGCATGACGGCGCGTGCTGCTGGGGCAGTGGGGAGAGGGCAGCGTGTTACGGGACCTGCGGCGGCGGCGGCGGCGGCGGCGGCGGTGGGAGGAGGAAAAGGGGCTGCCGGGATGGGTCGGTGCCGCCGCCGGCGCCGCCGCGCGCCAGTGCCGTCTGCTCCGCGCTCAGCTGCCCGCCGCCCGCCGCGCGCCGAACGCCTCATCGCTGCTCAGCGGCTGCCGCGCCTGCCTCTGCGACGCCCGCGCTCACGCGCTCAGGTGAGACAGGAGCCCCGCCCGCGCACGCCGCTCCGTTCCAGCGGGTTCACTTCACGGCAACGCCTCCAATCAACTCTTTTCGATTCATTTTGCCTTCAAAACATTGAGGAACTATGTGATGAAGCCAGACATATAAATCAAACAATATGCCGAATTCCAAATCTACAAGGAAGGTGAAAGGGGAATTAAGGAAATTGTAGATATCAATAAATTTGCGTTATCGCAGGTCCACTGTAAACGTATATAAAGTTCGAATAATATTTTAAACCCTTTCTTATAAGATAATATGACTATTCACGTCGAAATTTCCCTTGCGTTCATTATCAAATATTTTGAGCATTTCTGAAGATGCTTTACCGATAAACAATATTTCAGTGCATAAAATTACTGACGCGACCTTTGCCGCCGAAAGTAGACCGCACCCTGCTTGAGCACAAAAACGCCTTTGGGCGCTCCGCTGCGTGCAGGCCCCGCTCGTCGCCCCGGGCCCCACTGCGTTCGCGCCCCTCCTGCGCTCCCCTGCGTTTCTTTGGAGCTGTGGTCCGAAATTTAGTGCACGTCTGTCTCGCTGCCGACGCTGCTTTCGTCTGGCATGGGGATTCCTACAGCGTTCACCGTTGTGTGAACCCACGATGGCTGCTCGGCACTGCATACTAAGCCATTGAATTATGGTTCACTTTTGTACAACAGCTAAAGTTGTGCCTGAACTAACACTAATAAACAAGAAATGATACTCCAGTATCCTTCAACTGTAAAAAAAAATGTTCAGACGAACGCCAAGAGTACAGAATTTTTTATCGTTTTCATTTCACGATTTCATTTCAATTTTCATCATCACGATACATTGATACGTCTACAGCAGCTAAAAGAGTATTCAAGTCGGACAATAATATGCCAATACAATAATTCCGGTAGTTTTCGAGATGTAGGACGTCTGGTGAGCGAAAAACTAGCAAGTGTATTGTCAGTGACTTCCTCGCACATCACTCAAGGACTTGGAAGCACAGTGTCTCCTAAAAGGTTACTTGTTATGAAAAGTTCAACGAATCATTTAAAACAATGTACGTTTACTAAGTAATGGGTATTAAAAACTTTCTTTTACCCTTTTCTAGCTTTAATATGCTTGGTGGATTGAAACATTCATACTCCAACCATACACTTCAATTAGTCATTTCGTTTTAAAAAGCTCAGAACCTCCGAATTTGGCAGAATACAGCTGCAATCTTCATGTATTAATTCCTTTGACTTTTCTACTATACGGTCCATTGCTAGAATGATTCGACTTGTCCATGTCCTATTTTCTATAAATGATACTGGTTGAGAAAGAAGTATGCGCTTGAGTTTGTCATGATGCCAATGTTTTTAAGGTGGTGATGTTTGTGTTTTGAAAACGTATTCACAGACCGTGACCCCATTAAATGGAACATCAACAAGCAAAAAAATTCAAAATGCCTAACTTTAAATTTACAATTATTCTTAAATGTAATAAGCCAAGACCTACATATTTGATTTTGCTATCGACCGGATGTAATATTTGAATATTAACATATGTGACAAGCGTTGTTTAAATTTTCTTCTTTAGAAAAAATGAGAGCAACAGTTGAGGAAAAAGTGCACTGTTTGCAGAGCTCGTTGTAGAAACAAAATCTTTTTACTTTGTACTGACGTACGCTATTATTATTGGGCACTGGAACCTAAAAGTGGAAAAATCTTTTTCCTATATTTGGTAAATTTTTCCATGTAGTCAGAATTCAAGTTTTGTGGATCCTTGATAACGAAAAATCGATTGAGGCAAAAACGTCTGTCTGTGGTCAACACTAGCCCCTAAACCGCTCGAACGATTTTCCCCATAATTGTTATTCCCTAATCTTTCTTAACGAACTCGATGTCTTGCGAGTTTGAAAGGATATTTTGATTTTTTTGTGTACTTTAAGAGAAGCCCCAACATTTTTTAAATTTCCTAAAAAATGGCTACAACTTTTTTGATTTAACCTTTTCGCTGGAGAGCGCAAAGGAGCTTAAAAGACGAAAACCTCATTTTCGTTGACATATCTCAATTCTAGAAAATTGTAAAAGTTTTTTTCGGCATCTTCATACCGCTTCAACATTGAAGATATATACTATTTTTCTTAATAAAATATATTCTTCAAAGACATGAAAGAAATAAGGTCATGCAATTTTTTTTCGAAAATATGAGTAATCATGTAAGTTTGCGTGAAATGTAAGCGATTTTATACTCTTATTTTATAAAAGGAGATCTGAGGCCGGTGTATAGGGTTAATGTGAATGAGATGATGACTCTAACAACGTGAGTTCAAATTCTGAAACGGTGAGAGAAAATTTGTGCTGGATGGAAACACGTTTGCAGATTCATTCAGTATTATAACATTGTGAAGCCGTTACAAGTATTGAGAGAAAGTATGTGCTGTGTAGCACCTTTAGTTGTTTTTTCTGACTTTTGCTGGAAGCACCATGTTTCGTTCAGAGTGCTCGACAAACGGGAACGCAAAATTCACAGCTTCACGTGTGTCTGCCATTCCCCAAGTACTCCCAGACATAAAACAGAAATACGCGACCGGCGTTCGTCTCGAAATATAGCCGACGAAATCTCAGTTGCGCTCGATCTTCAACAGAATGTGTTTAACAGCGTGTCGAACGCGGGGCCACATGGAAAACTGACGTGTGTCTATGTAAATGAAATGTGAAGGATGCGTGAATAAAAAAAAAAAAAGAAAATAAAAGTAACGAAGACCTTACGAATGAAAGAACATTACTTCATATTAAGGAGGAAAATATTCAAGTTAATATACCAAAGTACGTATTTATTAACCGTAAAATTAAATTAAGCTAAAATAAGTTAGATTTAATTTGTTATTAAGGAAAGTCTCCCTCTAGCTGCTTCAGCCACATGGCAGTGGCTCAATTTACACGAAAATATAAAATAAACTCGCGCCTCCACAAGGGCACTGTAAAAGTGAAAAATTTAAATAAAAAACCGGTGTGTTGGGTGGATGCAGGTAGCAACGGTGCGTGTCAGACAACGCGGTAATGGCAAGAGCTAAACGGACAACGCCTGAAAGTGAATGGGGAGCAGGGGCTGCGAAAAAGGGACTCCGGCAGCCACTTGCCTACTTTCTGTGGTTGCGCCGCAATCCGCCTTTAACGAATCACTGGACGATTTTTAAGTAGACTTATTCGTGAAACTCTCAACTTCAGCGATTACTTTAATTTTCCAGATGTCTTTCTACTACACCCCCCTTTCCAACTTTTGGCTAAAATTAAATAATTCAGTGTGGGTACACTGTGGGAGCATTGAGTATATTTACCATTATTTCAATATAACAATACATTATTTCAATACTGTTTTCAAATGTGATGCGTGTCTTTTCATTATTAACGTGAAGGTTGGCTAAGCTTGAACCGAGGACGAATAGCAGTGAGTCGAGTCGTGGGCGCTAGCGGTTGTGTAAAGTGGGAGCAGAACGGCGGCTGAGACAAAAGTTTATTGAGTAGCCTCCTCCAGTATGACTTCTCAACTACGCAGAGGTGCACATTGGGTTGAGTTCTTTGCACACGTTAACATTGGTATTTATAATAATGATGCCTGCGAGTGAGTCGTGAATGAATGGGAGCTACGAAATGAATCGCTTTATCTGAGAGGCTAAAGGGTGTGAAACCCACTGATGTTTAAAGATACCTATGTAACAGAGGCTACATCGATGCCCTGTATTCCAAGTAGGAGAAGGAATACGGATTTAATGACCGATTACGATGGTGACGAAGGGTTTCGTATTCGCATCATCCACGTTCCAAATTCTCTCTCTGAGTTCTTTCAGCAGTTGAAGTATGTTATTTTATTTGGAGAGGATGTAAAGCGGTTGGATCAATAACAGCAGACAGCACCGACGAAAGCAAAGTACGTGAAACGAACATGTAAAAGCAAAGCTGCTATTTTTGGACAATTATCGACGGAATAAATTCAAACAAATTGAATCATACCTGATTGCTTCATTTACCAACAGTTACACTAGCAGGTAATTATACTGAAAAAATATATATCCTTATTATCGAAAAGTTACTTGCACGGAAGGCGTTTCCGGTCGGTGTACGAATCGCGTAACTGCATAGGTAAGAACACTTTTTGCACTCGCAGAGTTACTGCTAAAAATATTTCAAGAACTTGAGCGAGTAATTATGTTTTGCTTCAGCTTGAGGCAGTAGCACATATTTCACAACACAGGAATGCTATTGAACAAACTACTAAAGCTCCACCCTGAATTCGCCCGTAAATAATACGTACTCGTATACTAATGAAACGACCAATAGGTATCCGTCTAGTGAAACAATGACGCGTTTTGAGAGCAGTGTTAGATTTGCTCAAGGCAAAACCTATTCGCATGCCAAGTAAATAGAGGCAAAGTCAGAACAGAGCACATGCTGCCAGGGCTACCCAAGCGTAAACAATCAGGTTCTTTTACTCTCAACTTCGTTACATCTACAGTTACGAAAACCGAGCGGCGAGCACCTTGCGGGTGTTACGATATTTCTGTAAGCAGCTTCGACTGCAGGCGCGGGTGGCAGTGACCCAGCAGAGCGCGGATCCGGCGAGTTGGAACGCAAACGCGAGCGGCGACGCACCATTAGGGGCGGGACGGGGGGGGGGGGCGAAGGGGGCAAGAGAGAGTTTTGACAAAGGAACTGGCGTGAGAGAGGTGACGGGTGTGAACTCTCTCGAAGAAAGAAATCAGGATTAAACATTGATTAAACGAGTACACACAGTGACATTAGTTTTTGCGCGTTTTCGCAGAGCGCCTAGATTCGAATACATTACGGTAAGGCAAATATCAAAATAGCTTTTCGGAAAATAATGAAATTGGTATTCCTTCTTTCTTAATTTCATACGATTCATAGTGCACCGATTATATATTTACAACAATACTATATGTCTTTTTAAGTAAATTAAACTGTTGTAGGTTGCAGGGTCAGTTTCTTGATTTGAT